CACCCAAAGATAATTCTTTAAATCAACAATAGTCTCGTTTTTTGCGTGAGTTTTGGCTAGTTATCTTTAGCTTTTCATTATGATTAACATTTTAAAATAAAACAGTTAATTTCTTAGAAATTATTTAACATAGTCATGAGAAACCACCTTACATCACTTTTTTTAAGTGAATCCCAAAAAACAAGGTGTTGACTTTAATTCTATGTAGATATGAGGTTGGCTCAGAGTGATGAGTGAGAATTAGACCAGAATATTGCAAAGAACAAACTTAAATATGTAATGTTGTGATGTGTACACGACACCTTTTTCACAAACTCAAACTAGTATTACTAGTATTATTTAGAGTTTTGTGCATTTAAAGTCTGTTTCATTTGTCACAGGGTGAATTTAACACTCCAGACTCTTACAATTATTCCATCTTTTCCCGCAATATTAGTGTCACAGACTTAGGACTCTGTTAGCTCAGTAGGATAATGGCAGATCCAAAAGTATGACTCACCACTGAAGATTTTTTTTTTATATATTATTTTAAAAATCATACTCTAATAGATATTCGAAACCAGTTCTGAAACAGAAACTTTCTTTTGCTGTACTAAAAGAAAGTTGTTGTTTTTTAACAGCATGACCAGGTGACATTTAAGAAGTAACTCTAAATGATGTTGTAGTAATAAACACGACTTCCAGGTCTACTTTCATTTTGGAACAATTTTTCATCCATGACTATACGTCTAGAAAAAAACCTAAAGTGTTGTCAGGTGTTTTCAGCTGCTCCTTTATTTCTCAAGAAGTAATCACGATGACCTCCAAAGGATATGCGTGTTGATTTGTCTCAGACTGTACACTGAATGTGCTTCCTGAAGCAGTGGCTCAATAATATGATGGTTAACATGTTCGTCTAACATATGAATGATCCCAATTTAAGACTAGGAGCAGACACAAATTCCTAGGAGGGTTGTGCCTGGTGTAAAAATCTACCAAATCAAATATGCAGATCCATCCACCTCTTGTGAATAACGGAGAAGCTAAAAGAAGCTTTATGCCATCCCATTTATCTGGTCCTGAGACCACTAGAAGCACATTTCATTTCTGTCACCATCGGATTTTGAAGCAGAGCTCTCCCAGCTGTAAGGCAAATGTGTTAACCACTACATTCAAATTTCACCATCATGATGATGTCACACGTTCCTGATCCTGATAAAGAATTATCGCATCGCCTAAAATGTTTTTGTTCTGATTATAAAAATAACTCGACTGAGCACGACTCCAGACATCTAAAACACTGCTCACATATTCAACACTGATTAGCAATTCAAGTAGTTTTGATGTTTTGCTCTGTGGAATTACAGAGGAATTGAGCCAGTGGCATTACATTTTTAGATTTTCGACTACCTGACCAGCTTTAATTTTTTTTAAAAACGTTGGCCTTACAAGATGCTGTGGCTCAAAATAATAAAATCAAACCTATGTAACAACTTTGGCACTGCAGCTCGGAGCTTTTGTTAAAGTGCTGAATAAGTAATGCAAATAGGAAAATTGTTTAAGACAATAGTTGTAATGGCCCTGAACTCGCAACCATATTTGCAACTCACCGGGGCACTTTCCTGCTTTCTCATCCACACCTGGTATTTTCTACATAACATGTGACTGTAATGAAAGGACAAATAGGTGAGGAAGGAAGAGGTGCAGAAGGCAGAAATAGAGGGTGAAACAGAAACATTGAGTATAAAGCCCTAAGAAGAAAGAGAAAAGAGGCTGTTATTGGGTGTCATAGTCTGAGTCTGTTCTTTAAGAGCTAATATTTCTCACCCTCCTGTTTCTCATACACGCTATGAGACAAGGTGGAGAGGACATGGAGAGCGAGAGTCAATCATGTCAAATGTGTGTATGTTTGTGTGCACGGTGGAGATCAGATAGCCGTTTGTGCCTTTTTGTCTCGAGAGGACCTAATAATGTGTCTGTCAGAGCAACAAGGGCAAGAAAAATAGACTTATCCTTCCACAGAAATATGCGCAGACATACACAGATTATGCTACACATGGTGGGAGGCATATTCTGATTCCAGCTCAAACGTAGACAGTAAACACACACTTTAAGATACAGTGACTGTGAAAAGGGTCATTACATTTTGAACCTGTAGCTCACCCCAAACCATCCGTTTCATCTCTCCTTCCATTCACTCACCCATTTACCCTGTCTGCTCATACGCCCATCAGCGGTAATCCGCCCCATCCGACATCCTCAGCTTCGTATTTTAGCCGCATTTTGATACCCACTGGAAGGCGTGCGCCTGTGTGTGTTTAAGAGGCACATCTGAAATTCTAAAATGAATTAATGAGATGCTCGAGTGATTTACCAATTTGTGTGGATGCCTGCATGTGTTTGCACTTGAAGAGCAGACAGGAGAATGTGATGTGTCCTCCAAAAGTCTGCTTGTTGATGTGTGATACGTCTTCATTTTGCCAGCTCATTACCTTTGTTTCACATGACTGTACAGTCTGTGCAGCATAGTTAAGACAGACCAGACAGGTTATTGACTGTTTTTCTTTATTTCTCTCTTTGTATTTGTTCTTTTTTTGCTTTTCACCCTCCTTCTTTTTAATCACATTTCCTGCCTCCCCTTATTAAAGTGTCTGCTACCTTCAATGTATCTACTTCTCTCTTAGTTGGTGTTTCTTGCTCTCTCTTTGTCATACTGTCTTTAATTTTATTTTTCTCATAGCAACAAGTATTAATTTCACAGTACTGTAAACATCATTAAGCTGTTGTGCATACATAATCAACTTAGCTGCTGGATGGATTCAGTCAGATATACAGTAAAATTAATTGCATGTTTGTTGACATTCTGAGTGCTTATTTTTTTTCTGTCAAATCATATGAACTTGTTATTGTAGGGATACAAAAAAAGAAGTATGAAAAGTTACATAAAAAAGGATATCACTATGGTTGAGCTAGTCGATGATTAGCTTAACTTAGCACAGGCAAACAGCTAGCAAACACATGTGGTGCAGCACCCCAGAGTGAACGCTAATCTACCTCTTTAGTTGCTCACCTCCTCCCCACATCTGGATGATTGACAAGACCAGTGTTGGGAAGGTTACTTTTAAAATGTATTCCACTACAGATTACAGAATACTTGCCCCAAAATGTAGTTTTTAATGTATTCCGTTAAATTACTCAGTGTGAGTAACGTAATCTGAATACTTTTACTTGGATATATTGTCATGCTTTTTACAACTACACAAATGTACTATTGCTGTGTGATTTATTACTTTTACTGAAGGCTACTCGACACTGAGCTAACATTGTTAGCTGGCGTTGGCTGAGGTTAGTTCATCGACTGCTTTCAGAACTGCACACGATTATTTGCAGCTAGCAGGTTGTTAATGCTATCCATCAAGTCTAACAGTCTGCAGTCTATGATAGCTCAGTGTAGCAGCCTTCAGTAATAGTAATAAATCAAACAGCAATAGTACATCAAAGTTACTGAAGCGTCAAAAAACTCAGGTAGCTCCCACAACTAAAACAAGGTACCGGTAGTTACAGTAGGCTAACGTTAGTTAGAACTTACTTCCAGATGTTTCTTTTGGTTGGAGGTGGAGTCTTTTGACTCTGAGAGCAGCTTGTTTGCTGGCAAACAGATTTTGCATTGAAGACTTCTCAGACTTCTCCCATTCCTTTCTTATTTAAATAAGAAGTGGTGTAAGAATTTCCAAGTAACATATGCATTCCTGCCCCGGCTCTGTTGTGTTGGCTTCAGGTCCATTTTGTAGCTGACAGCACCAACATTAACAGGACGCTTACATTAGAGCCTCTTATTTTGTGTTTTGTTTGGGTTTCCAGCAATGTGTGGATTTACCAGAATTAGAGAAGGGATATCCTAACTTATGAAACAGGAAAAGACAGCTGTGTAATCCATTTATTTCAACAAAGTAACTGTATTCTAAGTATCCCCTTTTAAAATGGTAACTGTATCATATTTTGTATTTTAAATACGTAATGTCGGTACATGTATTCCGTCACTCCCCAACACTGCCCAAGACTTTTAAGGTGATATTTTGTGGACTTGCGAGACAAAACCTGAGCTTTTTGGAAGGTTTGGGTCCTGTTACATCTGGCACAAAGCGAACACAGCGTTTCATAAAAAGAACATCACACCAACAGTCAAACATGGTGGTGGTAGTGTCATGTTTGGAGCTGCTTAGCTGCTTCAAGACCTGGGAGACTTGCTGCAATTGAATCATTAGAATCATGCATTTTCCATTGTGAATGAAATCACTATTTAAAAACAGCATTTTGTATTCACTCAGGTTATCTTTGTGACACACAAAAAACTAAGAAATCAAATAGGGTGCAGATATTTTTTCACAGCACTGCATGGGCCACCACAGTATCACCTGCAGTATATGCTTCCCTGTGTGTTTCCATGCACAAGTCTTTGCTGATCTTGAGAATAAGTACCCATGTACTCAATTGCTAAACTAGTTGAAATTTACACATTTACTGAAATATGATTATTACTTCTTTGGTTAATATTGACATACACCATTAACAGTATTCTCAACAGCAGAATGATTTCATATGAGTTGCAAATGAGATGTGAAATTGCATTCGTAAATCTCTAATCACAATATTTGCAAAGATACAACAACAATAGACGTGGATGACACAATGGCTTCTATTTCATTTGGCTGTGTTTCTTACAAAGTCGTCGTCCATTATCCATTATTCTCAACGTACACAAAATCTCATACAATCACTTAGACGCATCTCATCTTCTTGCTTCCTTCCTGGAAACTGGGTTAATTTACACTCACTGCGAAATATTTCCAGTAAGCCTCATCTATTTTTTTTTTTTTTTTATTATTTAAAAATTTCCTTTACAGGAAGAAAAGATTCTCATCAAAGCACTGACATGTATGTTAATTAAGACAGAGCTATAGCCCAGGCAGTGTGTTTTCTTGGCAATATTAGGCTCACTTTTGCTCTCTTTGATCTTGTAGGCGTGGATATGGACAACATGAGGTAGGTGTCTTGGGTGTGCATGCTGTCGTTGCATGTCTGCACGCTTTCACTTACATTTATGCCCTGGTTTGCTTTCCATCTTTTTTTCTGTTTGATGCTATCAAGAAGAAAGAGCATTTACAGTACACAGTGCATGTAACTGGCTTTATAAAATATAATTTAAAAAGGCCACTACAGTACATGGAAATCTTGAAGTTAAACATATGTTTAAAAACTTTACCCACTCTTTTAAGATTCCAAAAAGTTGGCTCTTTAGACATCCTGGACATTTCTGCCACGTCCCCATTGTTAAATACATGTCATCGGTCTAGCCTTCCTATAAAGAGTCATCCAGTCACTTGTGCAGTGCATGCATTTTCAAACTCAATTTCAGCTTAAATTGAGTTCAGAAGTTATATCCGCTGCTTGATAAAACCTCATCCCCATGTTCCTACAATCTGACAGATAACATCAAATGAAAGCATATACATACATTGGATCCTGAGCTTTCTAGAGAAGCTGAATGGCAGGGCATCAGCTATCAATTTTATGTTTCTAATATAGATGTACACATTTCTGAGGGACAGCGCTGAAATACTTCCATTTTGCTTGTTTTTTATTTCCATTCACCACTTTTCTGTCCCTCTGGTAGACGCAACAACTTCTCCGACCTTCTCTGCTCCGACCTGAGGTACTCAGTCTCTCTCTTGTTTCAGTACTTATTTAATCCCTATGGGCGTCTGTCTGTTGGAGTATGGTTTTGTGGAAGTTTTAATGCAGTCAAAGTCATCACTATGAGTGTGTATGTATGTGTAGTCATGTCCTATCAAATTATCTGTTTGCGTGTGTGTGTGTGTGTGTGTGTGTGTGAAGCTTCTAACAAAGATCTGTCAATCTAACAGGAACTATCAATGGAATCTGGCATCGATCCTGGCCATGACTACTACACACAGGATTATTACAACTATGACCACGGGTTAGTACGTCGCCGCACATCAAATTGTACTTCTTTGTTATACCCAGCTTGTTTTTGCACGCGTCCTTTATCGTTTTGGTGTTTTCTTTACATGTAAATTTTGTCAGGCTTTGAAAACGTTCATATTAGCTCTAAATTCAGGAACAATGAACCTGAGAATATCAAATTTAAAATAATGCAGTTAGCAAAAGAAAAGCTATTTAGAGCTAATCTTTCTTTTCCATACTTTATTTTTCAACAATAGACAGGACGTACAAAAGACATTGAACAATAACAGGGGGAAAAAATACATAAATATTCAAATATGTGTGTGCATGTTGCATGTTTTAGGGTGGTGCTGTACGACTTCGCTTTCAATAGCTGATATTAGTGAATGAGGGTAAAATAAATGGAATCACAAGTAAACAAATGCAGAACAAGATAAGAGGAAAGAGCAACAAAAAACAAATCAATCAAGTTAGTTACACAGTAAAGGTTTGTGTGTGAAAGACTTAAACTATCTCTTATTTTTATATTTTGCTGGGAAAATCAAGTGCTTTCCAGATGGTGGCTCCAAATCTGACGATATTTTCTGCATTTATAATTCTATCAGTTTTGAAAACATCCCCACCACCAGCCAAAATGCAGCTCTATACTATAACAGAGTCTCCATGTTGATGATGAACTGAACCAGAAATTTGGATTCATCTCTTTATCAGACCTGTTGCCACTGATTTTGAGTCCAGTTGTTGTGTAATTTGGTTCTTTCCCTTCCTTAAGAATGGCTTCTTGACTGCCAACCTTCCACTGAGACCATTTCTGATGAGGCTTCAGTGAATAGTAGACGGATTCACTGAAGGGCCAGTTGCATTTTTTAGGTCCTGTGCTAGTTTTTTCATTTTAAGGACAGAACTTCATAAAATTTTTAAGGATTCACTGCACACTGCCAAAATATGCCACGTTTTCAAATAATAGCTCTTCGGGAAACACATTGTCGGTGCAAAAATTTGAACAAACGGTGTGTTTTTGTTACTAATTACAAACCTAAAGATTTAAAATCAGTTCTTTGGTAAGTTGTCTGTTATGTATAAAACATAACACTGGCTCATCCCTTTGGGTCAGTGCTTTTTTATGCTTTAATGATCAAGGTTACGTGTCTTTACGCACAAAAATCAGATGAGAGTAGCATGGCAGATCGTTACTTTGATTACACAAACATTATGTAGCAGTGGGTAATTGATAATAGGTATTGATTTGCAAATAACTGGACGTGAATAACTTATAATATTATACTTAAGTATATCCTAGGCAGCTCGTTCTCTTACTCTTAACAATATTTAAATGAAGAAGAGTGCGCGTCCAAAGTAATGTGTTGTTAAGAATCCTTATAACTCATATGTATGGTCAATACAAACAATGACAGTAAGAAACATAGTTTTAAATAGCTCTAAATAGCATTATTATAACTGACCTTCAGATCAATGTTTTGACCTAGAAGGAGAGGTCAGAGGTCAGATGTTACATGATGTTTTAAATCTTTATACAGTACTTTCTATGTGTTAACACGCCACACTTGTAAGAATGACAATTTCTAAGTTTTAAATTTCTAACTTTTCAGTTTTAGACTAACTGATTAAGTTGACCTTGAAGATCTTGGTGGATATAAGCCAGTTTTTTAATAAATTTTAAATTATTAACTTGACCTTACTCAAAATTAATTTAAATTAATTAAAAAAAAAAAACTAATTCCTAGAATTTTTGGACAGTTGTGTCAAAATGTCTCAACCAGTCATCAAGCAGTGTTGTTACTCATAAAAGGAATCTATTACACATTACTTTTTACTTGTTTTAAAGAAATTACTTATTTTACGTATTTACTATAGGAAGTTAGTTTTTAATCTTATATATTTTCTTATATAATTTCTGTATCTAATTAGACACATGGAAGATCTTTTTTAGTAGTAGTCCATTTAAATTTTACCACAAATCTGATATCAGAGGTGATGAAAAACAGCCTTCAGATAACGTCGCAGAAAAATATTGTGCTTACTCTGATTCTGCTGTGTGGAGTGTGACGAGACATTACAGTCATGTTCATCTCTGCCTCTCTCACCCGTTGAAAATCAAGCTTTGGCTCTTTGGTTGGGCTTGGGTTAAAATCAGCTTATGCATCATTGTGAGTCTGGGGGTGTCTGGCTGCTAGCTTTGTGTTAGCGTCACAGATTATATTACAAAAAAAGAATGTATTTTGCTTTCAATGTGTTTGCAGCAGTGGTTTATTGTCTCTGGAACGAACAACCCAGTTCGCACTCTACTGGCACAATCTTATGAATTAATAGTGGCTATCTATGCTGTAGAGTGCAAATCTTTTAGACCATCATCCAACATAAGGTTTATGCCACATCTTCCTAAGCATTGATTAAATACATTTTATGTGTCTGTAATGATGAATTCAAGAGAATCCTCAAGCTTTTTAATTAACATATTTTTAATGCAAAATTAAGTATTGTTTTTATACATGAATATTCAAAGTTGCTCTTTTACAAAAAAAGCAAAAATAATAGTTAAGCACTATTTTTTTTAAATTACAGTTGTTTAATTAAAATTAGTTTTAATGCTTGAAAGTCCCGTGTGTCGGTTCAAATTGGGGCGTAAAAAACATTTTAGTTCCATGAATTCAATAATTTTTTGATTTAAATATGTTTTTTGAAAGATATGAAATGCTTTCTTTTTTTTGTTTTTATGACAGGTGTAATACATTTTTTAAGTACTGTATATTGGTCTAACCTTCTTCTTTTTTTAATGTTACATAACTGCTTAGATGTATTTTACATGGTTACAAACAGCAATTGCCACAAACCCTCTAAAAGCTGCATATCTAGGTTAATTCACTAACTGCAGAATTAACACAAATTGGTGCTCTAAAAATTAACGGTAACAAGACCCACAAAGTAGCACGGCGTAATAACGAACAAAAAGGAGTTATTGAAGAGTTCACGTTTCTCACAAAAGGTTTGTGTTGATATATAATCAGAAATAATCGAACATAATGCAACGACCTTTAAAATGAGCTTATACAGATAAAATTCTCGGTGTTATTTCCATGATCATGATTGTAACCACGTGGCCAGTTTCAATGTTGAACTTGCAAATACATCATTTAATTCATTAAAGAAACATTCAGTAGGTCTCATGTTTTAACAGCAGTCATTCATAGCAGCGTGAACAGAACTGTAGCAGCGGATTTCTTTCAGCTCTTATCTTTACCTGGCACTTTACTGTTTGTGGTGTTACAGAGCAATGCAGCATTTACCAACAGTGATACACAGCGGAGAAAAAAAAGTCTCCAGGAAATGAATGCGGGCAACTCTGCTATGTTCCATCTCCAACCTTTGACCGCTAGCACTGATAGGAAGGGTCCCTTACAACATATTTCCTCCTGCGTGAGTCTGGACCTCACTGTGTTCGCTTTATCCAGCTGAGTGTCATGTCAGCCACGTGGCAGCGGCTTTGACATCAAGCTGATTGCATCAGTCACACAGTGTGTTGGCTACTGTGAAATGTTGACACCGGCGACCTGCCTCATACTACGCCGCTCCTGTATTCTTCAAACTACAGGAAGCCAGGAGATTTCAGAAAAGTGATTTTGTTCAGTGTGTGTTTTGGGTTCCTTGAAGGTAAAAAGAACACAGTATATAAAAAACGCACACTTTAGTGTGTGTGTGTGTGTGTGTGTGTGTGTGTGTGTGTGTGTGTGTGTGTGTGTGTGTGTGTGTGTGTGTGTGTTATTCACACACAGAGCTTGCCATCTGTGATGCATTGTGTAATTTTTATAATTTTAGCTGCAGACTCCAGAGAACTTGATTTTCTACACCCACCTACGCACACTCATAAACGCACAGTGGAAGAACACACACACACAAATTCTCTTACGGCAAGCATCTTCATTCACTCGCACTTACAATCACTCAGATGCTCTCTTGCTCGTTCTTGCACACACGTGCATAGCATACGCGTACACACATACAGCTAATTCTCTCTGCCTAGCTTTGCAATACTGTAGCAGCTAATCAGGCAGCCAGCCGTGGAAGCAGACAATAGGCCAGATGCTGGTGGCTTAGAGCAACATCCACAAACTCGTGTCTGACTCTGTACGCACACTGGATCAGAAAATCAGACTTTGTGACCCTGTGGGACTGAGATCTAATCACTTTGTTTCATTCACTTGCAAAAAACAGGCGTAAACAGTCCGCGCCAGCAAATACCGAACCAGTTCTCAGGCTTTGGATAACATTTCTCATTCCTGATTTTTGTTTTTCCACAAAATCCTTTTTTATTTTAATTTTTTACAATATACACTTCCAAAAGCATGGTTGGCAACCTTTTGACCTTTGCTTTGAACTTTCTTGAAAATATCAGGCCAAAATGGGATTTTCTCTGCATGTGGGAATGTAGCCATCTGCTGCTGGCATGATTCTGATTGGATTTACACAGATGCAGAATATAAACTGGAACCATTTGTTGCACAGGTCTAATGTTTTGATGCTGTTTTAAAAAAAAAAAAAAAAAAAGGAAAACAACAAAAACAACAAACTGAGCCAAATTCATGTTGCCCTCTAGTCAAGAGTGAAATACTCAATCCATAAATGCTACAGAGCAATAAGGGATTAAATCTCGCTTTTCCAAAACTGTTATTGGTGTGGGTGTTGAGCAGTGTGACTGCCGTGGAGCTGATAGGAGCTCGGTTAGGGCACCCACATAAAAAGAAATGTGAGGACAATAGAAAATGTGGAAAGATTAGCTGAATGAGAGCAGAAAATACAAATGGATTAGCTGAAGTCATGTCCAGCTTATTTTAGATGCACGTTGTATCAAAGTGACAGCTCAACCCTAAAATCATATTCACATTGTGATCTAGTCTGTCCACCTAGAGTGGTTGAGGTGTGAATTACCCGGTGGAAACGTTCTGTATTTTTAAATCATGATCCATTTACTTTATTGTAGGAACTGTTTTCTTTCCATCTCTACATCCAATCTAAAGAAGCAGCAAGCCCAATAATGTTTCCATGCTGTCAGAGTAAATGGACCTCGTCAGGGGAAGATACAATGGCAGAAAAATCACCCTTTAAATTCTTTAATGCTCTTCGCAGAGTTCTGACATACCTTCAAGTTTGAACCAAGCCTGGAAAAAATCAAATATGCAACATAACACAAGTGTAAAGTACATGGAAAGCTTTTATACACTTGTTTATAGCATCCTACGTTCTAACACTATAGCATTTAGAGTCCCACTGACAGTTACATGAACAGGTTTAAGTCTCCATACTATACAGGCAATCGGTTAAAGTTAAATCAAGTAATCAGGTTGTGATTAAAGTGCAGACTTTCAGCTTTAATTCAACGGGTCTATCGAAAGTATTTAATTAACTGCTTAAGAATTAAAGCCATTTTTGTAAGTTCTGGGTTGAAATTACATCGTTTTAAATGAAGGATTTTTTTTTTATTAATTTAAAAATTCTTTGCAGTCAATGACTACCCAAGGTCGAGAATCCACGGACATCTCTGCAACTACCACTCAGACCAAACCTTTAACATCATTCTTTTTCACATTGTAAAGGTGGTGATTGGCTACGCCATGTCTTGCTATTGTCTGGCAGGCTTTAGGTTCATGTGGTTGTAAGAAGGTCGGGAGCATCTTACAACTACATGGATGTGTGGACTAAGTGAAGAACCAACACTTCTGTGCATTAAAAATTGATTTCATAATCCTTTAGTAAGGGAGAGCCCAGTTCCAAATACATTTTAACTGCCTATTAAGAAACTGAGTCCTCCATATCAATATCGATCTCAACAAATTTCAACAAACATGTCCAAAATATGATGACAACTATCATTTTTTTTTCAGTTAGTGAACACGTACAGCCTGCAGTACTACCTGTGTACAAATGAGATCACACACTGACTCATCATTTACCATTTGGAGATCCACCAGTGACCCAGTTTGGTTCATTTAGGTTCTGACACATAGCTACAAAAATACTATGAAGCGCTGGCAGTGACTGATGTTGGTATCTTGATGCTGCAGAAGACATTTCTCTGACTCATGTGACTACTGCCCCCTAGTGGCCACAGGAGGCAGGGGGATGAGTGATAAAGGGTGAAACGATTGAAGGGAAGACAAGAGTTAAAGACAGAGGGGAAAGTAGGGGGAAAGACTCCTCAGATGAAAGAAGGAGACTTACCTTTGAGTAATATGTTTGTGTGAACACTTCTGTTTGAGTCTGCAGTTTAATAATTAAAATCCTATCATTGAGAGAAAGAGAACAGTTAAGATACACTACCTTAGCGTTCAGGGGCCATACTGTTAGTCTATGTATTACCCAACCTTTCTCCTCTGTCCCCCTCCATTTTTCACTCATTCTTTCTTCTTTCCCTTTTATCTCTTAAAACACCTCTACCTCCTTCTTCTCTCCCCCTCACCCATCTGTCATCCACGTGCCTTTTCCATTTGTTTATTACTTTGCTACTTAATGTAATGGGAGGGCGACTTCTCACCGGTTGACTGTAAGCAGAATGATTACACAGGGCAACATTTCTGCACAGCTCTCTAAATGAAGCCAAAGGACTTGGAGCACATTTGTTACTTTAATCACACTGGGACATATTGGTTTCAGAATGGCATTTGAAAAGATGTGCTTTTTGACCCACTGGCTCCCTGAGTTGCTTGCTGCAGGGCACGGAGCCTAAGTAGTGATACACAACACGTTTTTTTCGGTCGATGGAGTCAGGCAGCGCTCCCGGCAACAGGCAACAAAGAGAGACAAAAGGGGGAAAATCGATTGCAGTGTTTTCTGCTAACAAAATGTCTCCTGGCAACAAAATGCTCCTTTTGTGATTAAGGCAGCTTTGCCTAGGAAAGTCATTAGACGCCGCTTATCATTGGTATGAACCACAGTGTGGCCCTATGTGTTATCGCTATAAGTGTCTGCGAATAAGCACTAGCCAAGTTCATCAGTTTTGTCTGTAAGCAGCTTTCTCTCCTATCTTTACTTCTGATTGGCTGAAACTGCACAGTGGATTCTGTTTGCTTATTAATATAGCCAACAATAAAAAAGAAGCCTCCAAATAATAACTTAAAACTCAGTATAGGCTCAATTTACTCTGCATATGTGCTTATTGATTGTAGCTTACGTGTAACATCCTGGTATTTCCCCCCCCCCCCTATGATTTTTTTATCCAGGTACGACCTTCCTCAGTACGGCAGCCGCAGGAAGCTGATCTCGCCCTCTGGCCTCTATGATGAATATGGAGAAGTCGTTGTTGACGATGACGGCAGCTACTACTACAGCCCACAGGAGTCTGATGGAGAGGTAAATGCAGGAAAACAGAATACAAAGGGAAACGCTGGAGAGCAGATTATACAGGCTGGTAACAGAGTCCGTAATATTTTCATGATATTCTCAAAGAATAATGAACCTACAGTTACACAGTTAGTTGGTGTAACTGTAGAGAATTGGTTAAAGGAATAGTTCAACACTTTGAGAAATGCTATGCACTAGGTGTGCTAAAGTGCAGTACTGCAATACTTAGATCTTTTTTGGACATTGGCTGCTTTTTTACTCATGTTCATTCCAGTGTTTGTATCTGATGATTTTCAGAGTAAGAGTTTGTTAACACCGACCTATAAATCATTCGAGCATAAATAATACACCTAACTCAAGGGATGAACTGGTGTAGTGTCCACACAGAACTTAGCAACAAGCTCGTTTTAAATAGCATATTTCGCTTCTTTGTTACTATCAGTCTGTTGCACAATCACATAATTTATTCCCTTTTCTTTGGTTTCCTCTGCCAAAAATGCCCAAATTACCCAGTTTTGTAGGCATAAACTAGTCATTTTGCACCAACAGTGTGATTCCCAAAGAGCTAAAATGTCTCAAGGGAACAGTGCCTGTCAAGAAGCCATTATTATGTAAGAAAATTCGGAGAAAAGCTTGAAGTAAATTTTCCAAGAACTAGATTGAATAGAATAGATAAAATTAGATGATAGAAGAGGGAGCCAGGGAGGAGAGGAGAAAGCTACAACAGCGAGCATCTACAGTCATCTGTAAAACACCGTGGAGGCTCTGTCATGGTTTGTGGGTGCATTTCAGCTAGTGTTGTTGGGCAGTGGTCCCCAACCCCCGGGCCGGGGACCGTTACGGGTCCGTGAGTCGTTTGGTACCAGGCCATGAGAGTCGAAGCTCGGGTGTGAAATTTATGGTTTTCAGGGGTTTTATTGTTAACTCGGTTTCCCTGGGTCTTTTCCCGCGTTGTAGTTGTGTGTCTTATTTTGAAAGAAATATTTGTGTTACCATAGCAACCAGAGAGCATTAAGGGGGAGATGTGGCGCATTTCAGGAGGACACTGCTAATAAAGTTACACAATTACACGGTGAATTTGCGTTTAGTATTATATTTACAATATACCACAGTTTTTCTCTTGGTTATATTTTTTATTTGGGTGTATTTATCCGCCACACCTTAAAAGCCGGTCCGTGAAAATATTGTCTGACATTAAACCGGTCCGTGGCACAAAAAAAGGCTGGGGACCGCTGGTGTTGGAGATCTTGTCAAAACAGAAAGTCAGAAAAGTCAGATTTAGATCCACTATTGAAATACCATTTGGAAGGATTTCTGATTGGCAGTAACTTCAATTTTCTGTAGTGCAGACAGTGCAATAAAAGTCATGGACTGGCCTCCCTAGAGCCTGGACCCTAACATTACAGAATCTGTGTGGGATCATCGTGACAGAGAACAGAACAAAGGGCAGCCAACATCCAAAGAAGAGCTTTGAAATATCCCCAACACAGCCTGGAGAACTATTCCTGAAGAAATAAGTTATAATAAAGCTTGCCTAAGAAAGTTCAGGCTGAAGAATAAAGGTGTTCATACCACATAATGACTCTTAAGATCATTAGTATTCCTGCATATGTTTGCACATGCAATAAATCAGCGCATCAGAAATGAAGGGTGGCTCAAGATTTACAGTGACTGAAAGCAGAAAGATTGAAACGGGAGGAATTAGCTAGAAAGACAAACACTGTACAGCATTATCCTAAAAAGAAACCCTAAATCAGGCTCTTCTCATCTCAGATGGCAATGTGTGTTTGGCCCATATTTGCGAGCGCTAAAAGTAACGCAGATTAGGCCTGTATGTGGATGCTATTTGGGATCTGTCTGTTAATCCTAAATGTTCAGCTATCCTTTTAAGGTTGCAGTACATCCTTTTTTATTTTTGTTACAATGTACTACATAATGGAATGTGACTATTCATATTGAAAGCATGCTGTAAAGTTAATATGTAGTGGTTGCTCTTTATGGTCAAATGTTAGTGTTATCTAACTTGTTTTTGGACTAATGTCATCATTGCACCAGGTGAGGAGAAAAGTTCAAGGAGACAAATTAGCTCCGCACCCTTCCCACCTTCAGGCTCAAACTATTCCAGCCCTGAGAAAGACCCACGGACACGTGAGAACTGAGGATGACAAAAAACAAGAAGGCAGTACAACTGCTAACACTAAACCTAAGAGCTCGAGCGTGGCTACCAGGTTGCAGGCTTTGATGCGAGTGAGTACGACGCTGTCCTCTGCGGGGAAAAAGTCTGGACAGCCTCCTGCCATTCACCCTCCGTGGAACAAAGCCAGAATTGGACCGATAGAGGAGGGAGGCCGAGGAAGAGAAAAAGTGGAGGGAAAAGTGGGAGGAGTGAGAATTGGGTTTGAGAATGGGGGAGCAGGGAAGAGGGAAAATAAAAGGGTAGGCAGAGATGAAGCAGTAGAAATAAGGAGGGAGAGGGGAGGAAGAGAAGAAGTAGAAACATGGGGGAGAAACAACAGAGGTGGCGGCTCAAACAATGCAGTTGGAGGAGGAGGAGGCATCAGGCCAGAGCACAGGGGACGGCTCCCTGGACTGTTGTCCTCTGGCCAGTCTTTCAGCCGGGATGGCAGCATGGTCATAGATGGGAGTTATTTCCAGATGTCCACTGAAGCAAGCAAACCCCCAGCAATGGAACAAAAGCTGAGCGGGGCCCTCAGTCTTATCTCCCTAGCCAGAAGGCTCCAGGGACCAGCCAGGGTGGGAGGTGGACAGTGGAGCAATGGCGAAAGCTGGGACACAGAGAAGATGTATGGCTCCATGGGAGATATGAGCGTTTCTGCTTTAGTGTCTAAGGGAGCCACAGGAGAGGAGGGGAGGAGGTGGGAGTTCGGAGAGCCGAACAGCTCCATTGAGGGATGGTGGAGAAAAGAACAAAGATTTCGCGGCGGTGTTCAAAGTGATTCGGAAACAGGAAGTGGCAGCAAAGAGTCTCTGTCGGAATTCAGTTTCTCAGACGCAAGCAGCCACATGTTACATGTCCCGGCAGAAACAGACGAGGCCGAGTATGACACAGAAACAGAAAAAACTGAGTCCGACTCAGGAAACGCAAAGGAAGAGGAATGCCAAGATGAGCTGGGAGAGTGGTCTGAGTCTGAGACGGAAGATGAGAGGAAAAAAATGAGCAGAAAACCGGCAAAAAGACACGTTAGTGATAGTTCTGTGAGCAGCAACAGCAGGAGTCATAAAAGCAGAAGCAGTAGAGGGAGCTTTAGAAGGGAACGCAGCAGCAGACGGCGAGACAGGAGCGGCAAAGAGACTGCTAGAAAGAGCAGCAGGGACTCGGAAAGTTCTAGACATTCGCGTTCAACCGTTTCTAGTTCCAGGCCCAAAACTTCCAGACGGCCTTCACGTGAAGCAAAAGAGCCAGAGAGTGAAGAAGAGAGCGAGGAATCTGAAGAAGAAGAGGTAAAAAGTGCTGGATTGGGAAAGCCGTCAACGAGCAGGCAAGCTTCCAGTCACACCCAGTCGGACATCAGCTCAGGCCCGACGGACAGCTCGGACGACTTGTCACCAATCATGGAGGACAGCGAAGAGGACGAGGAGGAGGAGAAAAGCAGCGACCACGATGGGGAAGAAGGCGAAGATCCCAAAGATGAAGAAGAGGGGGATTTGGGAGTCAGCTGAGCCGAGATTAAATTCTTTGCCACTCAGTAAGGTCTGGGGTGAAAATGCTTGGATTGAGAGTGAAGTCATTACCTGAGTGGAATTTATAACTTTAATCTCTCTCTTTTTTGTGTTTTCTTGTTTGGCATGATTTACATCCACTGTAATTTAAAGTGTCGGCGTGTCCTCTGCTGCCCTCTCTGACTGTCTCTCTTCTTCTTTCTTTCTTTGGCTTGTAACTTTAATCCCCCTTTTTTCCCCAGTCAGCCTTTCTCTCGTCTTCGTGAAGTGCTTTTCTGCTTTACATCTACAGTTTTTTTCCCCCCTGAGCCGACTTGTCTCGTTTTCCGATTGTGAAAGCTCCCACTTCCAGCTGATTGTTTCTCTTATGCTGCTACGGCTCAGAGATTATTTACTGACCTCTCTTTGTTGCACTTAAGGTTTACTCAAGCTTTTTTTCATTAGTCATTTCTCTTTCTTTGCTCATTCTTCTGCTAGCAGTCAGCTCTTCCAGCAGCGTTTACCAGCAGGAAGAAAAGATGCTTTCTTTGTTATGGAGAACATGTACTTTCTTCTATACAATGAAGGTTCTTTAAATCTTTAAGGGTTACATGGTGTGTATGTGTGTGTGAACATGTAGCAGTGGTGACCCTGACCTACTATATTATACTTAAATAATTTAGTTTGTGTTCTAAAAGATTACATCCAAGACCAACATGTGCTATATTTCCAAAATCATTTCCCCATTTCAGTTTTTTTCATTTAAAAAAGCACAAAAAACCTCATCATTAGATGATCCAAAGGCCGGTTTGTTGAGTCACACTGCTGACATGTCTTTGTATTTGCAGTGAGTCAAAGTGTTTTTTTCATTGTTGCTCATTTTCTCACTTTAAAATGAAAAAACGTTTATTTTAACAGCAATTAAATCAAAATCTTTACAAATGACATGGAAATGTTGGGTCTTCTGACCAGAGAAGGTTTGGCATGTCTTCAGTCTGGTGTGTAGATAGCCTTATTTCCATATAAATACATATATCAACTGAAATACAACCCCAGTTCCATAAATGTTGGGCTGTTGTGTGAAGAATTTAAAGTTGATGGCAGCAACAGTCCCAACTTTAACCCCTTTTTTTAGTCAGAGGAGAGCAGTTTCTGGACATTTCTTGTCTGGTAAGTGAAGCTAGCTCCCCAACAGTCCAGGGTCTTATTTGTCATAGTTTTCCTTTATGTGCCAAATGTTTCCCGGTTGGGGAAAACTCTGGATTGCAGGGAGGCAAGTTCAGCACCTCAACTCTTACAAACCCATATTCTTGTAATAGATGCACTATGTGGTTTAGCATTGTCTTGCTGAAATATGTAAGGCCTTCCCTTAAAAAACAACACCATCTCAGATTTTCCTTCCTATTGTCACCTAGTGTGTGTTCATGGGTTATTGTGATTGTTTATTTCTGATATTTTGAGTCTTTACTAGTGCTGTCAGCGTTAATCTCGTTAAAACCACGTTAACGCCATAACCGCATTAACGTGGCAAATCTCCGTTGGCGAGTTAACGCAGATCGCCCCGTGCATGGGGCTGCTCGGCGCTAATGCGATAACAAGCTAACCACGCTAACGCATTGACGCAAGGATGCAGGTTTTTGAACTGAGCACTGATATCAAACCAGATGGTGATAGTCCTCTTTAGTCCCAATGATGTGGCCATCCAGTCCCACTTAATCTAATCAGTTACAAGCTTTTCATCTAGCTGTTCCTTTTTTGAATCACTTACATTTCCAGGCTTTTGTTGCTGTCGTTCCAACTTTTTTGAGTTGCTCCCATCAAATTCAAAGCGAGCTAATTTATGTCTCAGTTTAAACAGTTGTTGTTGTTTTTAAATCCCATTTATTTTCTGTGTTCTATTATGAATAAAACATGGGTTTATGAGATTTGGATATCACTGCATTCTGTTTTGATTTACATTTTATACAGTGTAACAACTTTTTTGGAATCAGGGTTGTGAAATTCGTCCTTTGGCCATTTCCGACTATGAGAGAACTCTGAATGCAATGTAACCTAAACATAAATACTATCAATGTTCACAGTTAGTCAAATCATTTATTATTAGTTATAGATTTTACCCAGCATTTTTTAGGATGTCTTCCTAAAAGACTGTATTAACCCAGAAAGCCACTGTGCTGATATTGTAACACATCGTCTTCCTAGCCCATCACACAATGCTGTTCTGTCAGATACCGCTTCTGTCACAGAGAAACACACAAGGTGTCCTTTGGTGTAGCTGCCTTGATGCACTGGCAGCGGTAGCACTGGATGCTGAGAGATAACTGTCCTCTTTTAAAAAGCAACACATAAATAAATCACAGTGTCTCTGTCAGCCAGCGGGCCATGTCCTGTTTGGAAGCTTTGTACTTTGCACTTTTTGTTTTGCTTGATTTTCACTCGCCGAATAGTTCTTGCTGTTGCTTTTACCTCCTGCTTATTTTCAGACATCGTAAACTATTCAAGTTAAAACAAGGCCGTCCTTTACAAGAGCCCATACTGTACATAATGAGTTGGGTGTGGGACCTCTCTCGGTTTTGCCCCAGTATTGCCACCGAATGCATCACAGCAGGGATGCCATTGGATACCTTGTGCTTCTCTACAAGACACCAGCAGCTTTGACACCTTGGGAATGAGACCCAAGTGGTTGTTACAACTTGTAGTAACACCTCTGTTAGTTGTGGGAATAACTGTTTGTTAAATGGATGCTAATATCATCACCGGTAAGTCTCTGATGCTAGCAAAGGGAGCTGTTTAATGTCGTGAAAGGCTTTAATCCTAGTTTGTACGCCTAAATCAAACCAAACCTTGGAAATGAAGCTTAAAATCATAAATCAAGAATACTTATGTGGGTCAAACATAGTCAGTCTTTATTTTTGAAAAAGATTAGATCATGGAGATACGCCATCACCCTGTCAACTTTTTACACATCCTTGCAAAGCTGCTGGTGCAACTAAAAGTACTTATTTCCCAAGGGTTTGCTACAGCAGATGGGTAAACAGACTTGATTTGGTACAGTTCTTCCTGAGAAAGCCTTCCTATTTATCCAGGCTTGGGGACTGGCAGAGGAAGTACACTAGCTTTTGACACCCCCTGAGGCTCGGTTCGTATCTCCTCCTGATCTCAAACCAGAGACTTTTTGCATGTAAGGCAAATGTGTTCAATGTCGACACCACAGAGGCACTCGCTGCTAGTGAGAGAAGGAAGAAGGAGTGCATTATTCTCCAAAATGCCTTTAATTTCAGTTTTAAACTTTCGATGGCCTTTTGTGAGTAGATGTGTGAACTGTGTGAAGTTCCCCAGTGCACACCACAATACATCATCAGGGTAACTACTCAGTACAGTTCACCGAAGGAGTTTTGAGGCATTATCGAAAAAGCACTTTGAGGCAGACAGCAGATGTTCACTTTTTGTGCTTTGTATCATCACTTTTACGATTCATTTCTCTTGCCTCAATGAAACTCCCAAGGTCAGCAGTTTAAAGTCACATTATTGATGTGTTTCTCTCAGCAGGGCAGCAGAAAACGTCGGGTCAAGTTGGTGTTTGACCGAGAGTACGAGACCAGCTCCACGGGTGAGGAAAGCGCGCCAGAAACCCAACGTGGGCGCTTGTCCTCCACCCACAACAGCCAAGTCAACGTTAACGGGAGCATCTACGTGGCCCAGAATGGCTCCATCATCCGCACCCGACGCTCAGTAAACACCACAGGGCCCACGCAAACCACTACTACGAACAACAACCTCAAACTCCCCTCTCCTATCTTCAGCTCAAGGCTGGCAAAGCACTTTAAAAAACTAGACAAAATGGCTGCCACACTGGAAGAAAGAGTTCCCCTGAACAGCTTCAGAACGACGCTGGACAGCGGGTGCAACACACTCCGCACTTTCCAGAGCTCGGGAACGGTTGCCACCACGACAACCACGTCCTCTTTCTCCAATCCTGACAGCAAAACGCTGAATGTGTTCAACACGCGACAATCCAGCGTTTCTTCAGGGTCAACCAGCACCAGCAACGCAGGCCCTGAAAGCGTGGCGTCGAAATCGAACCTGCTCAAAGCAGCACAGGAAGGCACGGAGCAGTCCCAGAGCACAGCGGAGAGAAACGAGTCGGAAGAAGGCGAGAGAGAGTCCAAGGTAGACGGCAGTAACGACGACACGGACGGACTCGTCATCAGAGAGCCGCTGGAGTGCCCGAGTGACAGAACGCAGTCGGACGAGGAGGAGTTATGGATGGGGCCGTGGAACAGCCTTCACATACCCATGACCAAACTCTGACTGAACGCTACGCTACTGTGCTCGTCCCATATTGCCAAGATCACTGAAACATTGAGACATGATTTCTGTTCATTAGTTGTGGAACTAACAGGGATGCTCCAGGTCAATTGGAAGAAATCTAATTACATGATTTGCTACTCTCTTGTCTGTGATGGAAGATTCCTCACATATCAGCCAGTAGAACTTTATTTTATTTACATTCAGAGAAGTGATGGAACTATATTTGAAGCAAAAACAGAACAAATTCATTGGCGTTTAATTGGTTATTTGGATTACTTATTAAATGTCACTTTTTTGTACCTTCTCCACCTGATTTCAGAGCTGCAACACCTTTAGAAAACTGGACCTAAACTGAGAGGACTTATATTTCTACTTTGATAGCAGAGGCAAAGGTGCGTGAACTTTTTAATGGCCCTTTAAGCGACTGGTGTCTGTATGGAACTGAGTGACTCATTCAGTATTACGACTACTGACGCAACTCATCTTGAATTTGCCTGACATGTTTCATTAACACATGAAGTCGTGTATTGTTCACACTTGCCTTTTTATCCTTGTAAAGTTGCTTAGCAGACTTTATCCAAATAAAATTCCAGCCATTGAAATGTGGTTTCGCTAACTTGATGATATGCTGCTAAACCCCAAGCTGTAACCTTGAAGGCTGGAAAAACAGGAGCCAAGGTTCAACTTCAACACCCTCCTTTTTAAATTGGTTGGTTTCCTGTCACGGACACGGCTTTTTAGCGTAGTCCGCAAATTTTCAATAGAGTTGAGTTTTTGGGAAGGCTATTTCAGCAGATTAATGTTAGCCTGCTTTTTCCATTCCAAAATTAGTTAAGTGTGAACAAGATTTAACTATCTAGCTGCTGATTTTTGGTGAAGTGAAGACTTTGGAGGGACTACACCTCCTTCATTGTTCCATACACCTTCTGCAGTGTACCAGTAGGACGGGCAGCAACACACCGTTGGTCCAGTGTGCTCAGGTTTGAAAACCTTTGACATATATTTGTTTCCTTGGAGCCATTCAAGGAGCAGACTTGATGAAACAGGTTTCAGATCCTCAAGATTTTCATATTAAAATATGGAATTTAATTGTATTGAAGGCCAAATAAAAATCAACAATACTTTTGAGAATTAGGTTCAATAAGCTCACAGTGGCGTTGTCTACTCTTCTCTTTGGTCTCTAAGAAAACTGCATAGGGATTAAAGCACATACTCTGTTTTCCTTAAAAGCTCTGTCTTAACTAATTTTACAAGGATTTTCATCACCGCTGTTGTACGGGCAACCGGCCTGGAAGCATTTAGGGTTTTTGGATAACCGAAATTCGGAACAGTCACTAAAACAGCATCTTTCAATAAATTAGGTAGAAGCTGTGCATGTAAAGTCAAAACCTCTGCTTTTTGCCAACAGGCACTTCAGCCTAGCTTCACCCCCTGTAGAGTGATATGTTAAATTCCCAATTTGAGATATGAAAATTACCGCCTTGTCTTGTAGTGAATACCTGTTACCTGATGTTATGGGGTTGGTGCTTTTTGGAATGTTTTTATTGGAACTTCTAAAAAACAATACATCCCACTGTGTGGTACAGCTTATTCGATACGTTCTAGCATTTTATTAGCCGAAGAGCTAATGCTTTGGTTGGCAGCATTGGGTCTGTATACAGACTATGAGCATTTGGATTTGGAAACCAGACTCAAATATTTCAAAGAAGTGCAGTTGTTGCTGCAGTTGTTTTAATTTTTGACTTGAAAGCAAGTGAAAAAGACATTGTGGTGATTAGTAACCGTTGGTTAGGTCTTAAGAGCAGCAGTTCCCATTTGAAGATGCACCTACAAGCTAAGCACAGCATCTCCACAACATAAAGAAAGCAGAAGAATCAAGCCAAATGAAACTGCTAGAGTTAATTTTAAGCTTGGCTAAAGCTGTCACACCGAGGGACAGTTAACGAGGTGGTGGTGGAGATTTGGGGTTCAGGGGTAGATGCAAACTCACAGCAACGTTATAGTGAGGAAAGATGATTATACGGCAACTTTAACATACTTTAAAGAGTTTTTAATGATTTTATTTAAAATGACCCCTTGAAAAAAGGACTTAAAATAAGAGTTAATTTTATTCTTGCTTAAACAAGATCAATATCACTTAAACACCTGTCTAATAAATATGAAAAAAGACCGATATGCCTCCTTCCTGCTTAGTAGCAGTAAAAAAAAAAGGTTACAGCTTTATCCCAAACTTCTCAATTTTACATATTTTATAAATTAATTAAAAGAAAAATGCTAATTACTAAAGTTCATGGATGCAGTTTCCAGTCTTCATGCCTTTCTCTTATTGATCTTCTCTTGCAAGAAGGCATATATTGCCAAAAGTGTAAAACCAAAGCTTTAATTTCATGAACAAAAAAAACTTCTTCTGCGCCATTAATAGTTAATTAAATTTCATTTAAACCGATATTGATCAGAAGATACTGAAAGAAGAGATTCCTTTTAATTATAATTCCACACTACCATAGGAAATCTGCTTAACTTTGCACATGAAGCCCTCTCCTTTATCAAAGTTGCTCACAATAAGGCTGGAGGAAACTTTTTAATTGTGAACTGCATACAGTTTTATTTGAAGTCTTGAAAGACTGGGATCATTAAGCTCCAGAATTACCGGGGTTTAAAACTTTCACCTTTAATTGGATGACCACATAATTTTGCATTAAGGAAATCAACAGAGGGTGCAGTACGGGTGGTGATATTTGAAACTGTGTGCTCCTTATTACCTGGAATTAGTGGAGTGTACCAGAGTCATATTTTAAACAGTTTCTGGAAGGAAGGGCACATCTGAGCAGCTAACACTGATTCAACAAAATTGATTGTTAAAATTTTCACCGATTCCGGAGGCCACTGTTTTACTGGAGAAGACAGGCTGAACGTGGCTTATTAAGCTCTGACAGAGCAACCAGAGATTTGATTAGTAGCTGGAACATTGTGAGACAGAACATTTCATCCCCAAAACAAAGTGAGTCATCATGTTTGCTTAATTATAAAATGCTCAAAACATCTCTGACAGGTTACAAAGAAGCTGGCTTTAAACTCTCACAGGCCATTTTATTTTGTACACTTTGCCATTATTGGGTTGGACCCTGTTTTCTATCAAATCTGCTTTAATTCTTCATGGTATGGATTAAACAAGGTGCTGGAAACCTTAGTCCATATTGACACGATAGCATCACACAGGCGGACAGATGGGCACACTGGGGTCATAAAAAGATGGATGTGGTCAGCAACAATGCTCAGGTAGGTTATTCCTACTAAGGGAATATTAGGAAATATCACTCACATCATTACATCACCACCAGCAGGCTGAAGCACTGATATAAGATTGGATGGATCCATGCTTTCATGTTGTTTATTCCAAATTCTAAACTGAATGTCACAGCAGAAATTAAGACTTAGTACATCAGGTAACATTTTCTCAATCTTCTATTGTTCACTTTCACTGAGCCTATGTGAACTGTACTCTGTTTCCTGTTGTTAGCTAGTACCCAGTGTGGTCTTCTGCTGCCCTAACATTCAGAGATGCTCTTCTGCATAGAGTTACAATAAGTGGTACTCCAAGCAGTCCGGCCACGTTTTTTCTAACCTTTGGCATCAAAAACACATTTCTGCTCAAAGAACTGCTGCTCATTGGATATTTTCAGTTTTTTGGACCATCCTCTGCAAACTCAGATTAGAAACTCTAAATCTCTACCATTCAACGAGAAAATTAGAAAATAAATAAGATCCGGACATGTGTCCATCCATGATCATTGAAGATGGACTACAATCGAGTGGAAAATTGCCACGTGGTCTTATCAATCTCAAAATGCATAACAGTTTCTAGAAATCCTGGATACACCCTCCTCTGGACATAAGAAAGAGATCAAAGTATTTCCCATTTTTATTGTGATTCATATGACAAAAAATAAAATCCACCGATTACCATCCATTTAAAGTAAATTCAAGTAAATAGACAAATGTTCACTTGACAGTCATGGCATAACACAGAGAGCAGATGTTAAAGTGTATAGTGGACCACTTATGGAAAGTGCTAACAATCAAAACATAGCTTGACAGCATACACGTGGATATAATGAATACACCAAAATGTAAAATAAAGTCTCAAATTGTCAGATTTAGTCCACAGTTATGGAAAATAAAATGCTGCTGCATACTGCTGAATAACATGCCATAAGTATGAATAATACACTAAATATTTTACAGTAAAATATTTTTTTACATATCTAAATACGTTTGAGTAAAGTCAGGGCAGTAGAGTTCACCCTCTCACATACTGAAATAAATAAACAAACACTAATAACTACTTACAGGAACTTACGCATAAACAACACAAATGCCAACCAGGGCTTCACATTCAAATAAATAACTTCAAACACATTTGTCTCAGGTTAAGAACAGTTACATTCAGAAACGAGGTCTAGAGGTTAGAGAAAAAAAGGAAACAAGATGTGGTGGTGTTATAAGTCAGATTTAAAACTGAAAATGTCCCTTCCTGTGTGGAATCACTGTGGATTTCACACGCTTATTAGAGCTGATATCGCTTTCATCCAGGCATGTAGTTGTAATGACCATTTCGTGAAAGATTAGGTTTTGCTTCGCGTAATGGCTTTTTTTTTTTATCCAAAGTTTAAATTAGAAACAGTTAGAGTAACAAAAGCCTGACTGGATTAAAGGATTGCAGCTTAATTATCACCGATATAGAGTTGTGGTTTCTGGGATCACAGTCTCATCTACCTTAAATATCATAAGCCTTAGGTCCCACCATACTCCCTTACTCCCAACAAAACATAATCCATGCATGTGATTAATATTAATCAGGTCAAATTTAACCCATTAATTGATGGTCACAAGTTGAAAGTATGAGTTAAAGTGAAACATGTCAGTCGTTTGTAGGTATTAAAAAGATGAAGAATAACAGATCTTCACTATTGCACTAAAACTATAACTCATTACTTGGCATTAAGCCTTTTTTGAAAGGTTTTTAAGCTTCTTTAAACAAATAATTCTAGTTTGTTAAATTTTTAGTATTCTGGAATATTGGTAAAAAAAAATGATTCCATTTTTATAAAAGTAGGATTTATAATAAGCCTAAAGCTGAGTAAGCAGGAATGAATTGAAGCAGCTTTCAATAAAGAGACTCAAAAGTGATTTTTCTGAGTGAAAATTTTAAATGGAGAAATAAAATAACCCTAATACAGCAGGTCTGTGTTCTTGAGTCTTGATGATGGACTTGATTTTGTGTCACGGCTCCTTTTTGGGTAATAATCAAGATGTATCATGTCGTTTTACATCTTAATGTTATTATTTTTTAATGTATATTTGGTAACGTCATTAACCAAATGGGAGGAAGTAAAATAAAAAGTTACTATTAGTCCTAAAATATTGAAATGTCGCTAATTAAAAGAGAGAAAAGTGGCACCAAATGAATTTTGAATGTAGATTTAGATGTGCAGAAGAAAGAAAAAAAAATCTAGTCATTACTTACATTAAATATCTATAAAGATGCTGCTCTTAAAATCAAGGACAGTAAGTCCAGACCAATAAATAAAGAAAAACCAATCAATTGCATTACAAACATTCAATTCTGTGTGGGGAACACGGAATACATACCTATAAGTCTGACAAAAAACTCCCCCAAAATGTACTTGTGCTTTCTTTAAAACTAAATTTGTGACTGGGCTAAAATTGAAAGTAATAAATACAACGACATAACAAGACAGAAGCAGTTCTAACCATAACAATCAAGTCGCTGTCACTAATTAGACAGTAACACAAAAACATTGACGACACCAAAAGGAAAATGAAAAGTGCAAAACATTGTTTGAAGAAGACCGGGATGCTCTCCAAAGGATCGTAGCACTACAACCATCATTGCACCAATAAAATAATGTAGAAATTTGCAGGAAATACTCAATTATAATCAGGTCCAACAGAGGAAATGTCCATATTTGAACAATCTCTGAAGTAATGAATGTCTGACTAAATTTGTAACTATGTTTTGGGCTCCACCAGTTTTGCATTTAACAATGGAAATATTCAGAAAGCTTACTGTTGCACAAAAAAGGTTAACAAACAGTTCTGGTGATCGCATTGTATTCACACTATTAAAAAGCAATACCCCATGTTTAAATTACATTTTAAATATATATATAGTAATGTATATATATTCATATATAAACATTTTTAACTTTTTAAGCTGCTCAGTTTGGCTGACAAGGTGAGATATGGTTGATATTTGTGCACAATGATGTGAGCAATAAGATACTCTGTAAAACAAAGCAGATCATCCTCAGAGATACAGCCACAAAATCATCAAATGTTGGAGGCAGTGTTGCAACATTTTAAACGGACACAAGACAACTTTACCAAAACAGTGAGAAGTTGCTCCACATTTGCATTTGCAGAATATAATAGTGTGTGCCTACACTGCCTTAAAACGCTCCTCATATATGGACTATTTAGGGCAAATACGGTAGTGTCCGATAAACTGCTTCCATTTTTACGACATTTAAATAGAATAGAAGCCTCCGATTCTTTATCCTCACATTTGCTGCGTCTTTCTGTGAGCTTTGCTCATCTGCACTGCCCCAAAATGTGCTCTTACAGTACTGTGAAACTGGAACAGTAGGGAAAGAACCAAACAAGCCAGCTTGTCAGCCTCCTTCACAATGCCCTCAACCAAATGAGCCCATACCTGAGGAAGCAACAATCTCCTACATCTCTTCGTCCATTTTAACATTTACTAGCAAGTGTGGATTTTACTTCTTTGTTTTAAACATACTGTACAAAAGATTTATTCAAACAATTATGCTAGTGCACAAGGCGTGTAGTCACTTGTGGAGATTTAATAGTCCTTGAAAAGGGAAAATAAATACTCCAAATAGTTTGTGTTTTACTATTTCAATAAATCCAATGGCAATTTAGCAACCATCAAAGCCAGAATTATTCTCTGTATGTGACACAGGAATCTTTTTTATCCTCTCTTATTTATTTGAAATATGAGGGACAGTTTGCCATTTCATGTCCCAGCGGACTTCAATAAAAACAGCTGCCCCAAGAGGAGCTGAGCTACCAGCCCACGACCATCACAGCTCTTGGATGACAGCGGGTGGGCTCGCCAATCTCCTCCCAAGCAAAAGGGGCTCATTACCTGTCACCTAACCCAGTAACAGAGCCTGGACTGAATCCTGTCCTTCACTTGCTCATTTAACACAGGGTAGGATTGGATTCCTTCAAGACTTTGACAGGAGGGAATCTCAGAACCCGACAATGCACGAGACCATCACTGAAAACACCTTGTGAAAAGAGAAATTCTCCAAGTTAAGAAGTAGTCAATGCAAGTCTCTCTGTGTCTAGAACTCATTTGTGGGTCTTCCAGTTCCTGAGGAGGTAAAGCTTCCAGGCTGAAGGGGTCAGAGAAGAGGTGGGAAGGTGGACAGATAGGAGCTCCTCTCTGAAAGAGTTGGAGGAGGCCTGTAGGAACCTTCCAGCCCCCACCCTGCCCTCTGTCACCCATGCCCTCAGACCTGCAGCTGCAGACAGGTACCCTGAAGAGGAAATAGGATCTATTTTCATGTTTCTGTTTTTCAATATTTAGTTAAAAAAAAAAAAAAAAGAGTTTAAAGAAAGACACAACACAACACTTGTTAATAACACAACCATGATGAATTGTTGCTACACCGCAAAGTGATCTTCTGTTAAAAATGTGAAAAATGGCTGCCAATTCAATATTAGACTATAAGGGGATTTAAAACAACAGACTTTGAAGTAAACTGCAAAAATGACCACAAGCACAAATACAAATCTTTTTCTGCGTTCCAGTTAGCATATTATTGTGCATCACCTGCACATTTGTCACATGGTTTTGCTTCTTCAGGGCTCCTTTTTTTAATCTGTTTTAAATTGAAAGTCGCAATTGAGGGTGCTGATTAAACACGTCTTCTACAGCTGACCGATGGTGACAATTGCCACTTAGCCTTGTACTGTATGACCCTTCTTTTTAGCATAGTCTGTAATTAGGATTAATTTACTTCAAAGTCCTTACAAGGGGAGTATTGTTACTACTTTTAGAATGAAGTATGAGAGGGTTCAGTCCCAATGAGAAAACAGCAATGACGTTAAAAACGCAATCCTAAATGAAGGAGAATGACTGTGTTGCCCTGTTGAGCAATATTTGATCACGTTTCTGTAGTTCTCTCATGCATAGCCTCTCATTTGGGTCATGAAATACACATTTCTGCTATTTTAACACACATCTGCTAACCTAGCTGTGATGATAAACTGCTAATGAATCCAGCAATAAGCCTGCAAAAGTAGGTAAGAAGAAGAAGAAGAAGAAGAAGACAGGATCTGAATGACAAAAGATTTCAAAAGGGCACTGCAATTGTTTTATGAAGGGGGGAAAAAAAGTTCCAGACATTTGTTAAATGTCAAGAATACACACTGGGCGTCATTGTCAGAAACAGTGACGTCATCACACGATGACAGGTGATCAACCTATCAGAAATGTAATTACCTATCACTACAATGCAGACTGCCACAGTTATGAGCGGCGTTTGCATTTTGATGATGCCTCTGTGAGACTAAACCTGACAGGTACAGGCTACCACAGCATTCATCTTCCTCATAATGATAACACAATAGCCAGTCTAGTGTCTGGTGCAGCAGACGAAGTACATCCAGTGAGTGTATACACTGTAATGTTTCTATTTATTGCAGGGATTTTATTTATTTTTTATTCATTTATTAGCTTCAACTTCACGTTAAATTTGTTCAGGTTCAGGTACAAGAAGAAGCTCGACACAGGATAAAAACACCACTTACACTTAGAGCTTTAATGGTGGAGTTAGATTAAAAATGAATATGCTTCCATTCATTTTCACTTTATTTCTTTTTTTTGAACAAAAACTCTGCAGATCACTTTGGAGACATGAGTCAGAAGATCCTGCAGCCTGGAGCAGATTTGGAGTTAATAAATAGCCTGTTTTTTTTTTATTATTATCATTATCATTATTATTATCATGACTTTAATTTTCCATAAAACTTTTGAAAGATTAAAACATTAAAAAAAATAAGTATCATCCAAAATCTCAATTGGGAGACTTTAAAAAAACTATAATAATAAGAAGAGTGTAAGGCACTTTAAAAGAAAGGTCGATCACCCTGAGAGCTACCATATTTTTGTTTGGTTTTTGCATTGTACTTACATGACACCTATAATCCATCAACAATTTTAAATCTATCCCATCCAAACTCTGCTTGTACTTTTCAAAAATAGTGGCAATTTTTCCCACTCACACCGAATTCTACTTCTCGAATGTTAGAGGTTAGAGATGACATACGGTACCTCTGTTGCTTTTCCATGCAAACACGGCAGGCAGAGTGTGAGCCTCACTCCTGGAGCTCTGTCAGAGCCACACAGCATGCAGCTCTATCATCCTTACTCTGGGCAGGGCCATCCACTCCGCTGCCAGTTGTCATGCTGCGGCTGCGACTAGTCAGCTTCTTGAGCTCACTGGCAAAGGAAATGACTTTCTTTTTGTCCTCCCTCACCACCTGGAAACAGAAGTGAATCCGTGTAAAAGAGATGCATTTACAGCATAAGAAATGTGCCAATAGAGCCTGAGCAGACTCATAAGAGCTGAGAAAACACCAATGTACATGATCCCCTTTACTTTTTTCTATTTCTTCAGATCACATTTTGTCTCAAGACAGACAAAAAAAACTTAAACAAATAGAGCTTACAGAGGCATTAGACCTTTATTTAGCAAGGCAGGACATTTAAACACATTATTTCCAGGCTGTCAGAGCGAGAAAAAAACAAAACAAAAAAAATCGAGCGCAAAACGATGACAAATAGATAAAACGCTAAAAGCATTAAAATGTACAGAGCATAGAGTTACATAAGCATATTAGTAACAAAGCAGATGGAAAACACTACAAAGGAAATCACAAAAGCACAAAACAGATGAAAGATTTGGGAAATAAAGGTCACAGGAACGGGTTATTTCATGTAGGCAATTAAGCATGCTAAAACACGTTGGTGAGCAAGCAACAGCGTACTGAGCAGGAACTAGGCATGCAGCGATTATCAAACTCTGGGCCAACACTCATACTGATGTTTTTAACACCCATTTGGCCTTCTGGCTCTTCATCACTATTAAAAAGGATGCAACTCAGCAGATAAATATCAGTTGAGTTATATTGGTCATCCTATTGGCTGATACAACAAGGCTGTTATCACCAATATAGATGTTCGCCCGATGTATCGCTGCATCCCCAGAAAGAACAGCATGTTAGAAAGATGGTGGCTGAGAGCAAAGTTGCACATATAAAACGGTCTCCTTTGTGGACGTGCACAAGGAAAGCAAAAAAACAAAAATGTTCTTTAAAAGTATTGCTACAATAAACATAAATATTAAATAAAACTAAGAAAAAAACCTAAAGAGTCTCTAGGACTAGGAATTGGTCATCGTGCTCAGAGCTACCTGCTCTTTGAGTTTAAGAATAAACTTTCCCGCGCCCCGCCACCGGCTCTGAGCTTGGTAGACACACTCGTGATCCAGCAGCACTCGCTGAAGAGGCTTGGTGGACGAGGACTTCTTAGAGCCGACGTCCTTGGTCACTTCCTCCATCAACACGTAGTCGCATGGATTGGGGTTAGCGAGGATACTGTAGGAATACTTAGCCTTTGACAGAGTCTGGCCAAAAAACAAAGAAAATTGAAAATATTAGGATGTGCTTTCTGCTGTGACTCATGCTTGTTTATATAATGTGTTTGTTTTTCCTGGACTCACCTGCTGTATGATATCCTGAGCCGTGCTGTAGCGTGGAGCTTTGATGACAGTGTGAGGCTGTTCGGGTGAAACTTCATGGACCTGGACAAAGAACATATCATCCTCCCCTCCTCCTCCTCCACCTCCTTCTCTGCCTGCCACAGTCACCTCCTCCTCTCCCTCCACCACCGTGTTCTTCTCATTCAAGTTCTGCAGCAATTAAAAGCAACAGTGACAGTCAAACAGTGCATGACACAACCACAAGGGGGAGCCAGAGTCTGCAAAATAGCCTTCACAAAAGCTTTTGAGAAACTGCTTATTACTCTAACTGCATCTACTAAACATGTGTACCTCCTCTCTAGTTTTGAGGCACAGTCTCCTCACATATCCCTCCTCAGTGTTCCAGCTGGACACCACCCTGACCACCTCCTCCTCAGGTGCTAGAGCTCGGTGCTGCGGGCAGCGCTTCACCTCGCTGCGTTCCTTCAACAGGGGAACCTTCTCCTCACACAAAAAGTATTCGGATGGGTTTCCCGCTGACCCCACAACCTGTAGAGAAGAGAGATAAAGCTTAAAAGTGTGTGACTCCCGTGACTGCCGCCTTTATAATTGCTCTACAGATTCTACAGCACTGACCACGTCCAGCAGCTGTTTGGCGGTGGTCTGCTCGGTAACACAGAAAACAGTGAAGGGTTCAGGACCGGGAGCGCAGTGCACCGTCACCCTGTGCTGCTGGGACGCATGCTTCTCCTCAGAACTGAACAGCTGTTTCGGGAGTCAGAGAGATGTAAGGCAGCAGGTCATTATAAAAACACACTGAATGCCAGATGCTCCCTCTTACTTTCTCCACTTTCTCTGAATTTATTTGGATTGCAAAGCATTATTTAGTGCGCCTTAAAGAAGTTTCTTAAAATTACAGTAACACGAAGAAGTCGAATCTGATCTACAGTTTTTCTTAAAAGCAGCAAACCTGAATAAATCTTACCAAAGATGAGGCAGTAGCGCCCCCTGCTGGACCTTCCTCTGTTCTGTGGCTGTAGATAAATAAGCTGGAGACTTCAAGAGACTCGTTGTGCTGTGTTCTCAACTGTACATGTCTGTAACCTACAACACAAACACATAAAAACAAAAAATTAAACGGTCTTGAAAACCTTTTAGTGGTTTGAAATAGACTGATTACATCATATTTTTATTGGTGTATAAAAGTCCCATCTACAGCCTGGAGACAAAGTTTTATCAGATGTACATTATCTGGTATTTGTACCTGGTTTGAGGGCTTTAAGTGGGAGAGTCCTCTGAGCTGTGGTCTGGGAACTGTTGTTCTCCACCACAGCAAATCGCAGGAAACACATCTCTTCAAAATGCACAGTGAACTGAAAGTGTTCGTTCCACATGGGGTTGAGGGTGTTGCGGTGGATCGGTTTGGTACGGAAGTGGCAGCTGTCGATGGGCATGCCCAGAACATCCAGCTCGATGCAGGGGCTGCCGGCACTGTTACTGGGACAAACGTTCTGCCCGGACACAATCTGAGCAGAAAAGAGCAGCGGAGGTGTCATATCGTTAAAGACTATTAGACGACCCAAGAATATAAAAATTTATTTAACGTTCTTTTACCATTTCTTAAAGTTACCTAATTCTCCAATATACACACACACAAACTAAACATTTCAATGTGTATGATATGATTTAAGATAACAAATATATACACAAATTACTTTGACTTTATTGTAATTAAAAGCAGTAAAATAAAAATCTACCAATTATTAAGATTAAGCCTTTTTTGAGTTATAACAAACCTGTATGAGACCCACAAACAGTATGTAAAGATATACCATCAAAATGTGCACTGATATTAATTTTACTTCATTTAACAGTTTTGTAAAAATGTAACTTCAGTGGCAAACCCTTAAGCATCTTAGCATATTTATACTCATTATATTATTAATATATTGAGCACCTTAATGCACTGCAAAGATGCAGGTATGTCGGTGAGTTTTAAGTTTTAAAGGCCTAGAGAGTTCAAAAACTGCACCATATACAGTAGATGAAGATTGAAAAGGATGTAACAAATTCATATGGATTTATTTATGGGATATTTATGAATACTTAAAATGCAAACTGGAAATTCAGCCATTATCAGGTCCTCAGTTGAACTCACATGTAGGCTTTAGGCTTCAGTAGCTTCAGATGTGGGTCCACCTGAGTGGGCATGACACTCACTCGCTTGCTGTGTGCTCACCTGACGACTACCTGCTACCGAGACCTGTCTGCATTTGTACTAGGCAGCTGACAAGACTGTTTAATGTTGGATATGACTATGTCAGGTGTTTGAGCTCTAACACGTAGCTGTGGCATGTAATGTCGAGCAAAGTTCAGGGCTGAAGGGTGAAGAGGACATTCTTCCTAACTCACTGTGAGGGAGTAGACAGCGGGGCTCATTTTCTCCACATCCCGCTCCATCGGACAGAACTGCTGATAAAGTGGACAGCTACGGTCCCATAACACTGCCGGCTTCAGTACGTAGCCACATCCACCGTTGGCCTCAAATAGCGCAGTGTTCAACTGCATGGGCAGGTCTGGGGAGGATACAGAGCAAGTTTTTCTAAAACAGGTCATAAAGAGCGCTACGTCGTTTGGATACTGTCAGTTGTTTGACAATTTGAAATCGTTCTTGTCTATTTGCTGTTGTAGAAGACAAGAGATTTTCCTTTAAACAAAGCGTCCACGCTGAAGTGAGTGCATGCACAAAAAGTCTCACCAAACCTAATATGAAATTTTTCTTTTCACCGCTGTAAAAAAAAAAAAAGAAAAGAAAAGGGCTGCAATAAAATGATAAAACTGTCATTTCTTCTTTATCATCCTCTGGCTATTACAGTGTTATATTAAATTCTGAAGTGCTGTTTGTCAGAAGTGAACGGCCCTTCATACAGACATACGCTCACCATCAGTCTGATAATTGAGTGCCACCAGCTGGATGCCATGCTGCCAGAAAAGCAGAGGGTTGGGGTTGGTTGAGTCGATCCTGGTGGCCGCCGGGTAGGTTCTGAGCAGCTGGCACTCCGTGTGCTGGATGAGCTTTTGAGAGTAACGGCGGCACAGGCGCTTGGCGGCGTTCTCGTTGACGGAGGAGATGTGGTAACACTTTGGTGTGCGGATGATGGCGCTGAGTGAGGTGGAGGGGTTGAGGACAGGAGACGTTTGCTGCTCCTCCCAGCTGAGTCGCTCCGAACCACCTGAGGGACAGAGACACTTTTAAAGGCCAAGAAAACTTCTCCATTAAGTGATGTGGGTCCTACATGATTTAAGTTAGGATAAAACAGCATTAACTAAAAACTTGGTTTGGCAGTTTTACATCGTGTTTCATGTTTCCCATATGCACCCGCACACATAAACCTCTGCTAACGCCGAGTTCCTCGGGCCAGGCTCACCTTTCCCAGGGGTGCGGCTCTGGGTCGTGACCTCCCCTGTTGCACTGCTGCGAGAAGGAGCCGTGCCAAATATGGACTTCCTGCTCTTTCCTCGGTCCTTCCCCCTGCTAGAGCCAGCCGGAGACAAAGTAGAAAGGCCTGGGTTCCCACACAGAGGAAGCAGACAGAAGAGACGAGTCATTAATGAAAGGCAGACAGACTAGAGACACCACAAGTATCCCAAGAGTCTCTTCTTAATCGTAATTTGCTTGAAAAAACCAAAACATATCAGAGCCATTTTCTTTCAGTATTCACTTGAAGGGAATTTAATTTGAAAACTTACATCTGCCATAAAAAGGTGTTTTATAATCTATATTTTGGGCTTCATGTTCTGTAAAGCAACTCAAAAGTTGTTTGCCATTAAGGCCATGAAATTAATTATCTATCAGTGGAGAGGAATAGCATGCAAATGATGTTGTCCTACTTCTTATTTAGCAACAGTACTCTAGTCTCCCTTCTGAAAATACTTCAGATGAGAAATGCCCTTTTCATTTTATGAATGGTGAGTGTTTTTAAATTGATTCAGACACTTGTACATAAGTGGCCCGTTCATCTAAAAATCACTCCCAACTACACAAAGCTGCAACCAGTCTGCTGCCTGTCCGAATTGGACCACTTGCCCTACTTCCTCTTTCTCATATCTCGGGTCCCTGGAAACGGTAAACAAACAGAATACCAGTGGAAACACAGGCAAGTTTATAAGGGCAGATGTCGGTTAAAGAAAAGAGGAGACAAACAGAAGAGGACGCTCAAGGGAAGAGGCGATAAGAGGTTGATGTTTAAGGGACAAAGAGAAATCTTTTCGAGATAAATGCAAGCATGCAATCAGGGCAGATTCCCGTAAACGGGCGAGATAAGATGTTTTATAAGCACATTTTTTTTAAAAAGGAAAGAAAAAGAAATTTGAAGCCAACTCAAGCATTTCTCACTTTCTACTTATTGCAAGGCAATGAAAGTGCATGAGAGCTACAAGGGCGACATGACATGACACGACGAAGACCCTGGGTTCGAATTTGAACTGTACTCATCCATCAGGACATCCGCAAAACAATTTCTTACTGTCCGGCGTAAAATAACTTGTGTTGTTGTGCCGTCCGGGGAATAACAGCAAAACTAAGTAACTGTATCTTTTCCATGGGAGGAAGATGATTCATCATCTTAGTGGGTGTCCTGTGTGGGATAGGAATGGAGTGTAACACAGGGATATTGGATGTCTGAAAACACGGGGAAAGGTTTGACCTCTTAAATATAACATGGGAGTGGATTAGGGTGGGACAAGATCCAAAAAAAAAGAGAAATGAAATACACAGCATTTAGAAATTAAAAGGAGAGAGGTGAAAGCAGAATATCGGTGGATAAAAGGAGACGGCATATATAGTAAAGATAAAGAAAAGTCTGTTCTAATGAAATTCAAGGGAACAGGGAGATCTGTTTGGCAAAGAGACGGAGCGATCCCTACCAGGGAATTTCACAGCCTGGCAGTAGATGACGAGGTCGGACAGCTCCTGGGCGATCTGTCGACTCTCCTTCTTATTCTGGGGAAGGTAGAACTCCTCGCCGAGCTCCATGTCGAACACCTACAGGTGCAGACACACACGGGACATGGAGAGCACTGCTAACATTTCACTATATAAGTGTAAATGTAGTGCTGAATCAGAGGCTGAACCACACTCTGAACCTAACACGTCTTTCTTTTTCAGTAATCTGACATAATCAATCTTATAAGAATTTCTTTTAAAGGAAGCAGCACGAAGGGCAACTTTCCTTGAGATTAGGTACATTTATATCTCTACCTTTCCTTTGCTCTGTGTAGTGCTATCAGCTTTCTTCATCCTTTTGGGTATTTCATCAGCAGGTTGCTCTTCTTTCTCGGCCGAACTCTTGCCTTCTGGCTTGTCATCAAGTATATTATCTATACAGAAGAGGACAGGCAAAAAAAACGGGTTTTAGTGATACCTGAGCTTTACACCGAGCTGACTGTACGGCAACAAGCAGCCACCAAAATTAGCGAGCCTTATGCCTGTCAATCAAGAAAGAAAAATCTGTGCTAATGCTTGCAATATGGACTCTGATAATGAAAGTATACTAAATGCACCATCCCAGATTCGTATTTTTCATCGGTCAAAGCAGGCAAGTATATTTAAGGCAGAAACTGGCCTGTCAAAGATCCATAAATAACATTTGTGCACTGGAGCTGCTCCTGATATAGTGTACATTAAATCACCAATAAGACATAGCATGCAAGGGAAGAAGGGAAGAAGAATATTTATCATCTGGGAATCTACTGCTTGTAAAAACAAAAGCAACTTAAATGAGGATTTTTCTTGTTTTCTCAGAGAACAGAGTGGCCGCTAGATTTACCTGTTTCAAGTCATTCTGGCCACTCATTAAAAACTTAATAAAAGCATTTATATCATACTGACGACTGACTGTCCACGCTGACCCGCTTCACAGCTGGGAACAATTAAAAGAAGAATTTTTAGTTTTAGCTGAAACTCGTCACCTCGTAAATCTCTGCTGACTACTCGCACGGTTCAGGAGCACCGAAGCTAAAGCGCACAAAGGCCCCTTCCTACTAATATTTAAAGCGATGTCTCTCAACTGTAAACAGGAGCAACAGCAGGGGAGTTCTTCCCATTCCTCCTACTCATTAATCGCAGCCAAAACCACAACAAACTTGAAAATGCAGACGCTTTTTATCACAGACAACGTGTTCAATTCTTGACATCTTCTTCTTTAGAAAAAGAACAAAAAGAAACAACTGTTTATCAGAAGGAGCTGACACTGAATATTTAAGCTATAGACAGCAGCCAGAGAAGTGAGCTGGACCAGATGGTGACTGGAGGGGAGCCACTACTTATCGGGAGAGGGTGGCAAGTTGGCAGCTTAGTTCAAAAGTGTTTGTGTTAGCGGGGCCTGTGCATGTGCCAAACGTGTATGGTGAAATGAAGACGTCAGGCTGGGGCGGGAATTGTTCGCTTGCCAATTTTAACATCCAGCGTCTGAAATTACATAACAGCGGCACTAGGTATTAAGAAGCAAGGTTTAATCAATCTAAAGAGTTCAGATGAGAGAGATGGGTTTGTTTTTGTTTTTTAAATTGGTCCATGACCAGTAAGTTCCTGTGACTGAGACGAGCATAGTGGAGGAATTAGGAGCGAGCAGTGTTGGGACTGGGACAGGGTAGTTTCCCCTGGTCTGTTGTTTAGCGCAGGGGCAGCGCAGGGCCTGAGAAACCAGATGGCTTTGTTTTGTTTCCCTGATGAGCCTGCCCAGCCACTGGCGAGGTCATGGACAAATACAGTACGGAGGGATGGAGGAAGGGAGGTGATGCGTTTGTGGGAGAAAGAGACATAATGCTGACCGTATATTGTTTGATCACATATAAAAAATATGTTTTTCTCTTTTTAACATGCTGTCCCGTCCAAGCACTGTATCTATACAACTGAGGAAAAAAATTCTGTGTACTGCAGTAAACAGTATCTAGTCACAGGCTACATATTGATATTGCTTCCAGGGAAACATGGCGTAAGTATGGAGGCAAGCTGGGAGGTTGGGATGCTACCGAAATTACATAAGAGCAATAAAAACAAGTCTACATCATAACAAACACTCCTGATCACTCACTAATCATCCTTCGTTAGCAATCTACAACCGATTCAAATAATCAGGTAATCCCTCACAACACTATGAATTAAAATAACTATAAAGCAGGACCTGAATAGTACCCGAGTGAACAGTGAATATCTGCGCTACAGATGGCTGCCCTTATTTGTCAGTGGTGCCTGAGGCAGAATGTTTTGCCCGATCGCTCAGGCTGACACTACTACCACATTATTCTTCCTCGTTTCTGTCAAACAACTCTTTGATATCAAATGGACTGGATGGAGTATTTCTTTTCCTGGGTTCCAGATATTATGTAACAGTGAAATTTTGAAATGCTTGTTACCATGGAAGATGGTTACACTACAGCACTATCTGAAGAAAGCTAGGAGCTACAACAGGAATGCAGGAAAATATAGGAGTACGTCCAAAGCAGCGATGCAGCACAGCAGCGCATGTTTCATACCAATGCTTTCCAACCCTTGTGTCTAGTTATTCGGCCGCAATAGACGAGATCAGCAGCTAAAGTGCAGTGCAAAAGTGTCGAGCCACCCATCATTTCTTTATATTTTGCCAGGGGGAAAAAGGGTGATTTTTTAAACATGCAAATAGAAATAGAAATACGCTATATTGGTCGGAGGGCCCGGTGGCGCCAGTGTCCTGCAGCCTCGCCTCTGTCAGTGCGCCCCAGGGTGGCTGTGGCTACAATGTAGCTTGCCATCACCAGTGTGTGAATGTGTGTGTGAATGGGTGGATGACTGGATGTGTAAAGCGCTTTGGGGTCCTTAGGGACTAGTAAAGCGCTATACAAATACAGGCCATTTACCATTTATATAAGACACAAATGTAGTTTGTACAGTTCTAATAAACTTGAAAGTTAGAACTGGGCATAACAAACACTAAGTACTTTTCAGGAATAGTTCTCCAGGCTTCTTGAAGGACATTCAAAGCTTTTCTTTGGTGTTTCTGCCTTTTGTTATGTTCTCTGTCAAAACAATCCCACACTGCTCCCACACATGTTGAGGTGTAAACTCTGGGGAGACCAATCCATGACTGTTGGTGTTCCACGGTGTGTTTTTCTATCTAGGCCTGCTTTTACTGCACAGGCAGTGTGTTTGGGATCATTATCATGCTGAAAAATGAAGTCGCTGCCGATCAGACACTCAAGATGAAATTACATGGTGGATCAGAATCTGACAATATTTTTCTGTGTTCATAATTTCATCCAGTTCTGGAAGATCCTGAGAACTATTGCTCAAGATTACTTTAACAAATTAAAAGAAGCAAAATATTTTTTAAAAAGAGGGGTCGCTGAAGACTTTTGCACAGTGCTGTAAATTTGCACCAACAATCATAACATTGTCTTAAAACCCAACTGAATATAGTATGTTATGTAGCAATTGGTAAACAGTAATAAGGGAAATTTCAGTGGTTAATTTTTGAAGAACAGCATGAATCTGTAAAAGAAAAGAAAAAAAGCAGAAGGAAATACTTAGAAAGGCACATCATAGGTGCGCATTTACCTTCAAGACCATACGAGGCAGTAGAGGCAGCGAGGCCATCAGCTAAGTGGAAAACAAGCAAGATAAAATAGGAAGGGTGAGGGAGTAAGAACAGGGTGTCAAAATAAAACGAGAATTAAGTGTTAAAAAGAAGAGAAACAGAAAAACCTAGTGAACAGAAACCGATTTAAAGCTTACAACACAAGAATCTATGAGTAAGTCGTGCACTAGTTAAGTCTGAAAGGATGTAGAAATCTGATAAGTCGCACACTTCAGTTGAATTCTAGACGTTTCCGATCACACACCACAATGCGGGTTTCATTACCATCTGATAGAGACTCATAATCATAATCATAGTCGTCTTCTTCTTCTTCCTCTTCCTCATTGGCATGATTGTTGGGTGAAGTCACTCCTGGAGACCCGTTGCTTGCTTGGGCTTGCATGTGGGCGAGCTGGTGAGCCTGGGAAAGGGGTTAAAATAAAAATACTAATAAAAAAAATAGAAAATTCTACTTTGAAAGCATATATATAAGTGCCTATGCACACAGCATCTATACTGTAGATATAAGCATTTTTCTTGCTTGAAAGTTATGATGGGGTGAACCTTTTAGCACAGCTCCATCCATTATTGATGTTTGACTGCACTCTAATGACAAACAATGATAGATGTTTAAGGCTCTGGAGCTACCTGGAAGGTTCTTATATTATTTATGAAATTTGAACAAGTTTTGCTGACACAAATGTGTGAGGAAGATGCGTTTCTTCTTCACCTTCTGCTTGAGTATGTCCACCGGTGCCTGATGGGCTTTGAGTTTCTTGTTCTTGAGCAGTATCCTCCCTCGAAGCTGCAGCGGCGATGGTAAATGAGGGTCATCGTTGAAGTCGCTTTCGAAAAGGAAGCGCGTCACAAGGCGTTCGCCGAACACAGTCTAGTTTAAAAACAGAAAAAATTAACAAAAACCACACCATCAGGAAAGTCAAGTCGAGTGCTAAGAAAAGTATCAAGTGAAAGGATGAAATTCAGAGGCTGCGGAAGAATCTTCCAAATACAAATAAAGTAATTTTATCCATGCAAAACAACATTACAAATAAACAAAACCATGGTGATGTTAGCTGGCCTGAGGCACAGAGCTGTCTGCAGATAAAAGAATTTCCTTTATCAAGCTACTCAGAAGTCAGTCTCCAAGGAGGATGAAACGCTCGGAAGTTTTGCGAGATGAAAGCACAATGATATTCCATGATATAGCTGTCGTGCCAAGATATCTGTGGGCTTCATAATTTAGAAAAAAAAAGACGAAGAAGAAGAAGATGAAAGGGTCATTTGCGCCCTGAAGTTCATAAAAGCAAGCGTCTGGACGTTGGCCAGTTTGAATGCCCAGAACAGCTGGAAAAAAAAACAAGGGTCAAGGAAATCAAATGAGTGGAGTCGCACAACAAACAAGCCTACTTGAAAGGGAACATTATTCCCTAAATATAAAGGATAGAATAGCTGAACAAGGAGCATGGCTGCCAAACTAAGGATTTTAGTTCCTTTTATTTTATTATTGTTTATTTTTCCCTCTGCCACAAATTAGTGTCGCTCTGAGATTTAAACAAAGACAGACGAAGCTTCTAATTGGGTGAATTTATAAGTTACCTCACAGTCACGCTATGAGATGTCCAATCCAATTGAAAAGAAGTTTTTGTTTTTTACTGCTCAGTGGCATTCTCATCTGTCTCGCTTACTAATCAGTAACTGCAAAATTAAATTAAAGACACACAAGAAACACAGTAACTCTAAGGACAGAGACAGGACTAGGCTGCCTTCATACCTTGAAGATTTCAGCCATCTTTCGTTGCTGAGGAAGGGAGCAGTGGTTCTCTATGGACAGGATGACGGGCATATCAGAATTGACAAACGCAGACCGGTTAATTGCTTCCACCACATCCTGAAGGACCACGGGAGAGAAGATGAAAAGGAAGAAATTGTCGATAAAAGCACTGCAAGTCAAATATGTAACAATAAAACTCAAACAGCTTTGGGTAACAGCTTCAAATTAGATGCAGCTGTAGGCCCCAAATCAGATTACATAAAATAAATAACGCTGACACAATTCGTTTGACTTTCTGGGATTCCTCTCTGGATCCGTCACCCCTGAGTCTATCATAAGAGAGCACTTGTGTTTAAAGATACAGATTTTGTTCTAGAGGCTTCCACCGAGTCAATGGGATGAGGTATGGGAGCAGAGAGCCAGCGACTGATGCCCCAACAATCTATTTCCCCTTTATGAATTAAATTATTCATGTGCATTTCAAACCTTAAAGGGTATCTTAGTGGTGAGTGTGTGGCCGTGGTAAATAACAGGCATGCCATCGTCTCCGTCCCAGCAGTCCAACTCGACGCTCCTACAGCCTTGCAGGAGCACCTAAGCAAACGAGACGTTCACAAGTAAGCGGCAGTTTTCAACAAACCGCACAATCTCAGCGGGCTTGGTTAAAAAACGGTCCGGCTTACGTGGCTGTAGAGCTCAACAGAGGACTCTCCTTTGAGCTGGTGCCCAGTCAGATAGGTGTTATGAGAAGACTCGATGTAGTAGTAAGACAGAGGGTATTGCAGCTCCTCTGGATTCATCTGAGATTCCTCATTACGTGAAGCAAAGTTGTCCTTGTCCATCAGGAACCTGATATAAAGAGAAAGATGCCAACAACATGCAATGAAGCATGTTAAAGAAAGAAAATAAAAAGAAAATATAAAAGCAAAATGCATCACTGAGGCTGTATCAGCGATAAACAAACTCATTATGGTGTAAATAAATGTTTAAAGTCCAAAAGGGAGTCGGTAGAAGTTTAGCACTTATCAAGAGCTACCCCCTTAGGCTTCCTACAACAGTGACAACTTTTATGTTGTGCTCTATACATTTACATTTTCATGCACTTTGAAGTATAATGATCTATGATAACTCCTATTTTTCTATACCTTGCAAAACCTTCAAATGACATCCACCCCATTTGTCTCATGCTTGATGAAGGCTCAAATTTCTGCAAGAGAAAAAATTGGTGAGTTCCTTTTCCCTTCTTTTTCTTCCTTCATCTTTCCCCCTAACCATGAAGATGATTTGAGAATGTGAATTTAAGAATCCAGACTTTACCTGTATAATACTGAGAATCTCATCGTAGCTCAGGTTCTCTCTCTGACAGTTGACTAAAAAGTCATTGAGCTGAGGGATAGCCAGTCCCAAGACGCCTAATGACGCGTTCTCCACCCCCGTCCCGTTGGTCACAATGCTGGCTGCTGCGATGGCATCTGAAATCTGCTTCTGGTTGTCGGACATCTGCTGCCTGGTCCGGATAAACAGGCCGAGATCCGACCCGTTACGAGTTAGCAAATCTACAGAGGAGAGGGAGAGATTTAGAGTAAAAGAGAAAGAGGTGTGTATGTTTTTGACTTCTGTAACTTCTCTTTGATCTTTTACCAAGGTCTGGCTGCAGTCCTGTGTCTTTGTCATCTATCCTGAGGTTGGTGTAAACAGGACATGATTCTGGGCTTGAGCGACTGCAGGGGACAGCAAAGGTGTCAAACAGCTCCTTCAGGTCCTTCCTGCTTCGGATACTGTTGAAAAACAAATTACAGAGTGGAGTCCAGTTTTAGCAGCACATCATGTCCCCATGCCCCTAGTATATTAAATTAAATTATTATATAAAGGGTTTTTTATACATATACCGTCACAATGGAAGATTCTCAAATCATGAGTTTCAAATAGTAAGTGTAGACGCAAGCAATCCCTGTGAGCCAAAAGCTCTGGCTTATCTGTATAATGTCAATAAGTGTGGATATCCCTAATATGGTCAGGGGAGAGAAGCTTGTGTCAGACAGAAGATGAACTTGGGAGTTGCTCCAAGAGTAAGATATAAGGATTAATTCAAATTGTGAATCATGCAAAGCTACTCTAGAGTCTAGGGGAAAAAATATGTAAATCAGAACAATAGCTCTTCTTTAATTTTCAGCTTTGCAGCCATGCCACTTTAACTGGGGAGGAGGCGGCCACCCAATCAGAAATACATTTATTTGCCTCTAAATTTCTTTTACAAGAGAGAGTTTGAAGAGTTGCCCAAGAGCTTTTGTCTTTATAAGAAATTAAAAGAAATCTGCTGGGCAGCAGATGAGAGGACACTCTGCAATCTAAGAAATGCAGAGGGGCTAAAATTAAAACAATCCTTTGCTTGTCTGGGCGAAAGATGTATGTCCATCCATTTGACTGGGGAAGAATTCATGCAAGCTAAATATTATGAAGAATGCTTGGAAAATGCCCTTGGCACGATAACCTTGAGAGGTATTTTTTATTGCATATGTTTTATCACTGTCTTTAGCTACTATTGATAAGAACAGTAGTTATATAACAAGAGGGCCTGAGCTCCAAAAGCACTGCACAGGGCATGTGCAGTATGTGATATGACATACAGCATATGTGAACATTGAGTCATTACACTTAGCTGGAAAAATGCATTTTTAGATAAAACAGAAGTTATATTTAAATAGTCAGAACTTGAACTGAATGAAGCCAGCACGGCCGACATCTCTTCCTCTGCTTTGGAAACATGTAAGAAATGTAAGAAACACAAGATCAGATCATTTACCTGAATGATTTGAAAAGCTCGACAAACTCGATGAAGCTCATTGTGCTGTCAGAAATCATGAGATTCTGAAAGCCTTTGAAACAGCCTTTACCCCGGCCGTGCCACGATCTGCTGCTCCATGCCCTGCAGGCCCCAAAGAAAAGGAAACATATATTCGCTGGGATGGAAAAAATAAAGTGTTAGACGTCAGTGGGGTCAAACGTGCCCCGCTACAGTCATTTTTCACATACCCCGGCTGGGATTTAGCATTTCCCGAAAGGATTGGAGAAGACTGCGGACGGGTCTGGTTGGACCCTGCCATGCTGGAGGAAGAGGAGGAGGAAGAGGAAGAGGATAGCAATCCGGGGCTTTTACTGGATGTGAGGGAGAGTGATCCGGGGATGCTGTCTTCTGTGGAGGCAAAGAGTGTTGAGTGTGAATAAAGATCGGTCACACAGACAGAAAATTATAAGATCTGAAGCATTTGGTCGGGTTTCTAGAAAACACCAATTAAACTGATCTGGCCTTGTAACTTCTACATGTTACCATGAGTGAGGTAACATCACCTGGATCTTCTTGGTCGATGCTGTCAGACTCTGGACCGTTTCGATACAGTCCTTCTTTACAGCTCCGTGTTTTCCTGGAAACCATCTCGTCATCGGTTGCATCCCCACTGTCTCCCTGTTAAAGGTGTGAGGAAAAAAAGACAGATGTCAAAAATGAGTCTGTGAAAAACCTAAAACCTAAAATTAGCATCCATGACTACAGCAAAAGGTCAAATTACTGACCCTGACAAGAACCTTCTTCTTCTTCTTGGCTTTCTCATTCGACAGGGGGTTGTTCTTCTGGGCTCCAACCTTGTCTCCACCACCCGTACCCACATTCCACCTCCGACCCCCAAAAAGCTCAATGGCGTGGGCTAGTGTAGGGCCTTCATACCTGCCGTCCTCCTAGAATAGATGAATACAAATGTTACTGTTAATTAAACACACACCACTTCTTTTCATCCATCCAACTCCTCCATCCTTCTTTGTGTGCAGAACATTTTTACAGGCTTATAAAATACAGTCAGTGTCAATAATAGTCATTAAAAAATTGATGGGAGAGAGACATGTACTTTTAGAGTTTTACCTGATACAAACTGACATACTGCTTCCTCAGCCACTGCAACCTTTGGTCAGGAAACTTCTTTAATTTCCTGGTTGCATTCACCAACTCCGACAGGCCCTTGTAGAGCATTTGTGCCGTGTGATTGGGGGCCACAAAGTGCAGAAGTCTAATGGCATCAGTCAGGAGATTAGTTAGTTTTAAGTAAAATGAAAATGTTTTAGCAGTGTAACAGTAACTCTATATAAAAGTGCATTTGAATCCTAATAGATTATAAAAAGGCACCAACCTATTGTCTGTGGTACTCAGACCATACAGAAGGCTGAGGCCATTCTCCTCCACTGTCATCTGACTCAGCTTGTTTTGCAAACATACAGCATGAACATCGACACCCTGATGGCCCAGAAACACTGCCTGCACATTCAAATAAACACAAAGTTATGAACTTGAAAGCTAATCTGGGTTTTTAAAATCTACAAAACCAAAAAAAGATTTCTTTTTATGACAAACCTTCACTATTCCCAGGTCCAGCAGGCCTTCTGCTAGCCCAGCCACTACAGGCTGCCCCAATCCCAGTGGTTGCTCTGCAGGGGAAGGGCCTCCGCTTTGAGGTTTACCTGCCGTAAATCAACATATTTATGACTGTTTGAGCTGCTGTAACGGCAAACGGAAATTGAAGAGCCCTTGCATGAATGCACAAATTTACAAGCAGTTTAAACTGAGGCTTTTATTCTGTAGATAAACACGTAAAGCACATTTAAAATAAAAAATATACTTTTTATATAATGCCCTTTAAATCTATTTAAAGAGAAACAACGAGAGAGGAAATTGGTCTCGTCTGTTTGAGGTATAAACATGCTAAAAAAGTTCTGAGAAAAGGAAGGTTTGATGCAGTGATTTCAGCGTATCAAGCCTCCCACACCCCCTTACACTGGTAAACTGGAATCCTATATGAATATGACTCATGAAGAACGAGGTTGCTGAATAACTCAGTAGAAGATAAGGTCAAATTTCTTAATACTAAACTCTTGCAATTTACCCCAAGTGAGTGTTGTATTATCAGGCTGTAGACGTAGCAGACAGCGAGCACTGCCATGGCCGTCCTGGTCGTAATGAATGACCGTAGCGCCCTGCAGCAGAAACTGGTAAATGTCTGGTTGTAGTGACAGCACATACCTGGAAAAAAAACAAGAGTTTGTCGCACGTCTGCTGAGGCACCAACAGCTGGATGTGTTTGCATGTGTGCTTGAGCCTCTTACCAGGGAATGAGCTCCGTGCCATGGCTAAAAGCTCTGTGCGTCTCCTCGGTCCCCTGAAACTCCACTTCTTTCACCACCGGCTCGGTAGACAAGTCACCATCTGAATCCGACAAGTCTCCGACCGAGAATCTGAAGACGGACGGGGGTTAGATGGGTTTGGAAAGAAAGTTTAAGAGCCAAAGATTTTTGCGTCTTTTAAAGTTTTTGCATGCGGATTTCCGAGGCGATTTTCCAAATGCACATCTCTGTATTCATAGGACTCATTTTATTTTTAAAAAGCAATTCAATCAGACATAAGAAATGACCTGCATCTCAACTAAGAAGAACCAAACAGAAACTGAACCTATCCTGCAAGCATTGGCTTGATCAAGCAAAACAAAAAGAAGAAAAAAGTACCATGCATTAGTCACTGCTCATGCTTCTAATTAAACCGTAATCTGAAACATACTGATGATAGCAAGCATTGTTCAAATTCCAGTAACTTATACTGTGAAACAACTTACAAAACATGTTTTTTTTCTGGAGTCGTCTTAAATGAAAGGGAACTAGAAGGGGAGCAGGAAACAAAGAACGAAGAGAGGATGTGAGACGAAAAAAAGAACGCATAAAGAGTTTTCAATAGTTTTTTGAGGTCTTTTTTTTTTAAGTGGGTGCTGGTGGGAAAAAGATCCAGAACACAGAAGAAAGGTGATTTTTTTGAAACTGTAGTCTATGTTTAAGAAAGATACACACTATGAAGCTATGAACTCCAAATTCTGTGCTAACATCGAATAATTTGTCTGAATCTGAGAAAACAGTTTACAAACACATAAAATGGTCCAGGTTTCCTGACTGCAAACATAACAGATCACAGCTGGAATTAAATGACTTTCTACGTCCTCCAAATTCCAGCCTTTGTTATTAGCTACCTGCCACCAGAATGCTGACAACAACCAGAACTCTGTTCCTTCCTGTCCTGACAGGAAACTAACCTGTTATCTATTTTTTTTTAACTCTGCCCCACACAGATTTCATGTCAACATCACTTCATCTCAGTAACAATCTGCAAATGTGTTCCTTCACAAACCCGTTATCTCGCACTAATCCAAAATAAGACTTTGGTGAACATCCAGCCTACTTGGCACTTGAGGATATCCCCTACATTTAAAATAGCTGTGCATTAATCATTAAAGCTTAGTGGCTTTGTTAAATGTTAAACTTTGCAGTGCCTTGTTTGCTTCAACAGAGGCTGTTGTAGCTGCACATTTGTAAGCAAGCTAATGAATGCACTGCATCTATTGTGATTTTGCTCAGAACTGCGCTACCAGCAAAGCCAAGCCCTCACAGCATGGCAGTATTCGCAGTTCTGATATAAATCTGTATATAACATTCTTCTGCTGTGTCCATGAGTCATTGTCTGTGAATGACCAGCAAAATAAAGAATCCAATTTTGGAAACAGACCTTTGATAGAAAGGGTCACAGTGCTAAACAATACAATCTTCAGGCTGCCATAATAGAGGGCCAAAAACGTAACCAAAAATGTAAAATAACACAATGGTAAAGTGAGAGCATGAGTATTACTAACTTTTGTGCAACGTGAGAGCAGGAAGTCAAAATAAAAGTCAAAAAGAAAAAGAAAGAACCGCAAAATGTTGCTTTTTTTGTATTAAATCAACACATCAGCATGATGAAGCAGAGTTCATCGGCAGTTGACAAATAGTAAAAATAAAAGCCAGTCAAGTGATTCATGACGTCCTTGGGTCTTGGTGAATTTGGTTGCATGCTATGTACCATTTAATACTTTCTCCTGTATGCCTTAAACTACTTACACGAACATCCCTTACACTGCGTTAAAATACACACTATCCTTCAACTGGAAAGAATCAAGACCCGGTCACGGTAAACAGATGCTATTCTGGGATATTCTTTAACAAGACACCTCATTTTTCTAGGGTCTCATACCTGACACTGCACGCTGAAATATCTCACAACAAAAGCTTGAATGGCACACTAAAAAAAAAAAAAGGGGGGGGGGGGAGAAACTGAACTAACTGATTGTGGCTGCGGTCTTTGAAGGAGTTGTTTCTGGATGCAGGGGACGGGCCAGTAGAAGACGGACTGGTGGACGCGTCATCAGGATCTTCTGCCTCTAAACTCCGGTTGCAAGATCTAAGGAGCAGGAACAGTCGAGTCAAACAGACGGATAAAGTAAAGAACAGGAGAGACGACTGTGTCAAACACCATCGCTTTAGTCATTAAGCATGCACATACCTGATAATCTGAAGGATGTTGCTCACAGTAGCTTCCTTCTCTGGCACATGGAGCCCATCTGGGCCAGATCGAGACAAGTAATTGCGCTGGCCGCTGTAATCGGACACAAACTGGAGGCAGAAACAGCAGTGCAAGATGGATTATACTAACAGGATATCAAATATGTAATGTAGTGACAGTTTTATCAGATCTGTGTATTTTTACGAATGACTGCGGGTGTTTTCTGCACCTCTATCGAGTATTCTGTGTTATCAGGAGACTGTTTGAGGCTGATGATGCTTGCTGTGCCATCCAACGCTTCACTTAGCTCCTTCAGAAAAACCCCACAGAATGGCACAACCTACAGTGTATATGTGTAAGAGAAAAAAAACCCCAAAAATAAAAATTACAGTGCAGCCAAGGTCAGTGAGTTAGAGGATCAAATGTCATTGGGGTAAACATAGGCCCACCTTGCATCCTGGGATATTAAGAGCTCTGGTCACAACCTTCTTGTACTCAGAGGAGGACTCATGCTGAGCCATGGCATCCTTTAAACCTCTCATGGTCTCGATGTCTGACTGGTCCATAAACTGCCACATCTTCAGCACCTTACGAGATCTGAAGGGCGAAAAAAATGAAACAAAACAGAACACATTGATATTTTTGTGTGAGAACAGTGCAGATAATAAATTGCCTGTATATTCAGTAGGTGGGTGTATTTGAGTTGCGTCATTGTGTTTCTTAAAACCTGAGTCCAGCCAGGAACTCCATGACACCATTGTAGTTTCCCATGTTCCAACAGCATTTAGCGACATGGACCAGATATGAGAAAACTTCTCTTTTCTCCTCCATGGACCCTGCAGTCAGGACCAGCCACGTCACCCACGAACTCACCTGCGTGTTCAGAATTTCGCATTTCAGTATTGCCAACTGTTACAATCGTAATCAAGCACCAACAACAGCTGCACTTTATTGCGCTCTTATCTTACTTATAAAGTAAGCTGACACACAAACTGCAGAAAACCTCCCTAGTAACTCACAGCACCATCTTTGTCTGGTTATTCATCACCTTTTCCCTTGGAGTGAATAACATTTTGCCTTTAAAAAAACATTAAGTTCCAACATTGAAAATACCCAATATGGGGCTGTTTTTTTTAAATTATTTTTATTGGTATAACTTGCACTTTATTGCCTTTTGAATGCATTACAAGCAGAAAGAGTTTGAAACATTTGCATTTTTAAAAATATGTATAAACCTCATAGGAAGTGGAAAATAAACAGGTTATTTTCTACTCTATTGAGCACTCAAAACTCTATACAATTTGTCTGTAACTTATACGCCCCTAATGTTTTGGAATTATTATTGGAAAGGCTTGTAATGCCTCCATAGTTGGTGTGATTACAGCTGGAGACACATATTCCCACTGGCATTGGGTAAAGGAGGGCATGTGGCATAAAACTCTGCCAATTCAAATATATTAAATGACCTGTTTTGGCGACCCCTTGTAGCAGGGGAGCGGCCGGAAGTATATATTAGAAATGCTGTTACTGTACTAGCGCAATATGCTGCACATTTCTCTGACAATTTCTTAGTGGAATATCCACATAACAGGTGACATCATACTAAATCCCTGGATAACTTTTTAAGTGTGCTGGTGTGCTGTTACAAGGCTGGTATTAGGTATGATAAAACATGGGGGACATGGGACGACATCCAAAGGCACCTAAAATTCTTGAAAGTGTACGGTCATGTCTGCGCTCATGAATTCTGCTCTGGAAACTTGTGCCTAATGTGGCAATGTATGCACAGGACTGCACCAGCTAGCCTCACACTTTCACCCCGACACCTCTCCACACATGCACACACATAAAAAAGAATGAGATCGGATATCTATCAGCTGCGCTGCGTCTCTACACTGACTGACCTCAAGCATAAGCAAAAGACATGACGGCAACAGCAGATATGTATCAGGCTCGACCTCTCTGTATGAGCACAGGTACACAACACAGGAAAAGATCAGATTTCAATCTGGCCTGTTTTAACTATCTGGTGTCTTTTTCTCTTTGTATTAGCGAATGCATTCGCACACAATAAAAAAAAAACAAAAAAAAAACGCACTCACACTGAAACTCTTTAATCCACCTGGAGGTGGTAAAAACATCCCCCTGACCCAGAGATCTATTACTGGGTTACGTAAGGATCAGTAAAGCCCACCAACATCTGACCTGACAGGGACTAAATAAAGTCACACACACACACACACACACACAGGAACTATTCTTCCTATTGTTTCCATTTCCATACTGCCTGATGAAAAACTGTTAAAATGTTCCAAAAATGTTTCTCATACACTCCCCTTACCTGTCCATGAACTATAGCACAAACAAGCGCAGAAATCAGACACATGCATTATTAGATTTTCTTGTCTTTGACACTAAAATTAAAGCCCCCAGCCATAAGGTCATTGGCCCATTGGACACTTTATGTTCCCCAAAACAAACTGCACGAGCCTATCAAGGTTCATCTTCGGAAGACTTACTGCAATTAAATAAACAGCGCTTTTAATAGGCCGATTTTATTAGAGAGTCAGAAATTCCTCTGACATTTGTAATCACTGTCAGCCTGATCAGATACAGGGAATCAGTTACAGAAATTCCCTCCTGGGGCTTTCGAGGTTTACATGTTAACTTTTCAGTGGAGCAGAAGCTCGTTCTGCAATCTATTGTATTTGGTTACCGAAAAACAACACTGCAGCCCTCCAGTCTCTTATCTGCTACTCCCCTGCTCTTTGCGTGCCACGCATGAAAATCTTGTATCATGTACTTTCAGCATTATGACATAATGCGAAGCCATGTCAGCATCGGGGTTTTAGTTACACTCACCATCTAAATCATTCTGTCCATCTGCAAAGTGGTTTTTTGCACTTCCACACATCAAGGGATCGCACTGAGTTGGCATCTTTTCAGGTATTCCAGATAGCAAAAGTGCGTATGCAGTGTTGTGCATGACAACAAGCAGGACAGGATGTGAGGATATATATGTACAAATGTACACAGAGCATATAATGGAACAGGAAAGCAGCAAAGGGTAAATATGAGATGATACAAGAATACAGCAACTTCCCATAGAAGCATGAAAAGTCAGTTTTGAAGAGCATTCTGATAGAATTGCAGACACACACTCACATCCAAATTTGGATCTGGCTATATGATCCCCCCCCCCCCTCTTTGATCTTTGTCTGTGTGTCCACCTGTCCATCTGTCTGTCCTGTTGTCTGTCTGTCGCCATTTGTGCTTGTGGTATTAGTTCATCTGTGAGGGTCAGTTTCTCCTTGATACACGAATTACATAATGGAATATAACAGAGAACCATTACAAACTCGAGCACACACTGGTCCCGTCAAAGCTAAACACTTTGGAGGCCCAAACTGCTCACAACTCCCTGCTTCCCAGTGTCTTTCTCAATCCTGTTTAACTGATTAATGTTTCACTCCCACACATGCCTTAAAAATGAACTCTATCAAAAAAGTCTTGTCTTACAAGTGGGGAAATAAACTTCTTAATTAGTTACCATCTCAAAAACAGTGGATCCAGTCAGTGACATGAAACATTTGTGAACTATTTATCAGGGAAAATAAAAATAATTAGGTGAATTAACTAGTAATAATTTAATCTTGAAATATATTCCACAGTTCAAAAATGAAAGGTAAAACCCAACCTGACACAATTAAAGGCAGCTGAAGGAGAGATTCAGTGCTGTCAATATGACTCTCGTTCCACTGTGACCATATATGGCAACACTGCACATTTGGAAAACTGTCTTTCGTGCTTCTCCTCTGGCTGACTTAAATGAAAACCAGCTGATGCGAAGAGGCATGCGACCTAAACATGACATAATCATCTCCAATCAATCTCTCTAGCACTTTCTCTTTCGCAGCAGTGGATTTGTGCATTTTCAAAGTCATTCGCCGTGAACGAGGCGAGGCTCGGGGGGTGTAACTTAAGCCGGTGAACATGGTCGTGAGTGAGTTGCGCTCATGATAGGTCCGTATAACTCGCACAGCAAATAAGAGAAAAACTGCCATTTAATTTTTTATGTTACTGCAAGAACTGCATTTCAATGCCACTTAATCATCAAAGGACAACTAACTTATTAACTGAAAAGTGCTCTCTTAAGATGAAAACTATCTCCATATGGTTCCTTTGGCACAACTTCATTAAATGTATCTGCATAAGATGTGAGAGTCTCCTGAATGCACTACACATGTCTGTGTATATAAAAAGTCGCTCAAGGCTTTTAATTGTTAAGCTACGTTTGTGCAGTGTCAATTCTCAAGTGCTTCTACCCAGTCTGAAATCCTGCTGTAAACCCTGAGCTGCGGAGAACTAGACAGGCTGTGTAACATCCTTGTGTAACTACATTCACATGTGTGCTAAAAGATTCGTGGAGTGCAGACAAAGTAGACAGAAAGCCCCACCCACCTCGTTGAATCGCGCCACCAGTTCCTCCACGGCGTTACTTCGCTGAGTGGGCATGGCGGGCGCTGACAGTGAAGCCTTGAGGTTTGGGTGGCGTTTAGTTTGACACTCTGGACTTCCCAGGTCTCGGGTGAGGAAATAGAGGTAGTCCAAAGGGAAGACCTGCAGACAGACAGCACGCTCTCAATCAATGGCTGGGATTGTTGTGTCATTACAGACACTACTTACAACCACCTACTATTCTCCTCATCCAACTTCTTTGCTAAACCTCCCCACAATAAAACACAGCTGTACAATTTCAAATAAAGTGTAAGGATCATGTTGACAGCTGTAATTGCACGTTCCTGCCTCTGCTTTCCCCCTCATGTATATTTTATATAAATTCTCTTATACCTGCTGGTAAAGCTGCTGCTCTTGCTCTGTGAGGATGCAGGCGATCTCCTCGGGGAACTGAACAAGGTGGCGCAGCTCTGCCAGCTCCTTACTGATCCCGCTTACACTGGGAGGAAGAGTGCTGCTGCTGGTCATGCTGCTGGCCAGCTGACGCTCTGCATGCACAAATAAAGACAAGAAAAGATTTAGTCAGGTTATACATCAGCATCTATGCTCAACAATTCTGAGTAAAAGGAAGCCGTCAGAAATGAGAGCAAAGCAGAGACCATGCATGCACGCACCAGTTAAAAGCAGGTATCGCAGGATTGAGGGAGAGAGGAGGGATTAACAGTGAAACATTATCTTAACAGATACTTAACTTTCACTATAAAAGTTTAAAAGCCTTGTTTTTCTGGCTTTCTTGTGCATGCCCCAAGTCTTATGATCCATCACTGCCAGTAAACTATACACTCTCTATTCCTCCATCCACTGAGAGAAGCTCCACTTCACCCACGGGAAGTAAACACCACTGATCACCTGCCAGATCCTATGTTTGGATTTCAGTTAGGCCCATTAGTCTGTCTGTTTACACATATACGCACACACACACACACAAAACCTGTCCTCATCTCTGCTAACAAAGGACTAATGGACAGTTCCTACAATGGCGCAGGAGCTGCCAGGTAGACATTCTGTACATTGTTGGGATGGATGCCACATAAACAGAACTTTCTCACTGCAAGAGCTCAGTCAGGAATCACTCTTTGAGAAGTTTCACCTGTGTTCAGCTATAAAACAGTTATTTTAGTCATTGGGAAAACCTAACCTTCCCAAGCCTCCATACTCCTACAAGTGGAGACAAATATCTATAACATTCAGACAAAAGCAAGGAGATGTCACCAATATCTCTATGGTTAAGGATGTTGGGAGGAAGATGTTGGAGTGAAATGTCTGCCACAGAATCAGCTTCATGTGTTGAATTAATGGGAATTAGATTGCCGACAGTAAAACCTCGTGAAATCCAAGGAGACGTACTTGAAATAAAATGAACAGCAGGAGTTAGACAGACTCTCTGGTCATTGTCAACTGTCATACACAGAAACCTTCCAACCCCCTCCCACAGTCACACTGATACAACACCGCGGATGCATACAGAAGCAGACGCACACTTAAAGGTCGTCCTTGGTAACCCTTGAGATGTGCAACAGGTAGGCATGGCAACAGCAGCGGCTGCTCCACAGGAACAAAACTTGCTTATTTACACAGTTTGATTTGTGGATCCGGTCTCACAGCTTGTGTAATGAACTCACGGTGTGTGTGTGTGTGTGTGTGTGTGTGTGTGTGTGTGTGGGGGGGATAAGAAGACGGACACACTAAGCATAGGAGACAAGGAAGAAGGAAGGGAAGCAGGAAGAAAGGATAAATAATTTAACCGATAAAATAAAAAGTAGGGAAGCAGGAAAATATCAGCTGAGGAGGAAAAAAAATACTTTGCATAAGAAATAAAACAGTACGATAGAGGAAACAGAGGGAAAAATTAACAAAGCAAATGAAAGAAGACAGATAGGAAGGAAGGAATCAGTAAAAATAGCTGGAAATTCTATAGTTTACATTGCAGAGCAAGTTGTAGCCATTTATCACAGTTAGAGAGACGGCAGAAACCACTAAATCCTTTAAATGTCCTACGGAGAGACAGAACTGCAAGTTACAGGTCTGAACACATTTTTCAACGACACTTGTGCATTTAATGAATCACAATAGAAATAATTTGACAGGTGAAAAAGAGAAATGTGGCTTGAAGAGTCTGCTTACATAGATAGATTATGTAGAATAAATATTATCCCATTTTTAACATGCCATTTCACACAAATGCTGTGAAACACAACCATTTTAACTTGCATAAAAAGATCAGAAACTGAAAAGGCTGAATCGAATGACAAAGTCGATGCTCTTCTTGTTGCCTTGTACAGATGCGCTAAAATACAGATACTTGTATAAGCTCTATCAGAATGAACTAACTGTAAACATCAGTTCCATTAGGTGACTTTAAAACAGTTAATTTGTGTTAAATAATTAAAATGACAGTGATAGTTTTTCTCATATAGATGATCAATCTCCACAATTCTACCCCAGAAGTGTTATTGCAAGCAAGCCTTGTGAAGTGGAAATTGAGACACCTCCTCAAATTAGCTATATGAATTTCATGACCATGCAGTGTTCTCAATCATTCATTTATTCATCCCTTTAAACAAGACAACACACAGATGGACGAAGCTGTCAGCCAAGGGAGTGAAGGGAAAACAAAAAAGGTCTTAAGAGATTCTGCAGAAATAATGAAATGCAAATGTGCATTAAAATAAAAAGAAACATCCAAACCGTAAAGAGGTGACAATCTATGTTTTCTGTCAAAGTAAATGGTAACATTTAATTAGCTTGCTTCAGGCACGCTATCTTTGAATTCTTCAGGCCAAGCTGCACACATACTGTACTATGTCAACAGTGACAAAAAAATAAACAACCGCACGGAGCACTTACTCAATGGAAGAAGGCTGTGGATTAGATTGGACTGAGGAAAATAGGGCGCTTACAAATTGCACATCGTAATCGTTCGTTTGAGCAACACTGACGGGTAAAACTGAACATCCATCAAGAGATCGAAAGAGCACGAACACGGACTAAATGACCATGATGTCCCTGTGCATTTTATGTATGAGCTTCCTCATCTATAATGCATGCGGAATATAAATATGTGTGAGTGTGTGTGTTTGCATTCTAAATACAGCTGTGGATCAAGTGCATGGTCTGAACATCCTTTTTATGGTTAAACCTCTGTTTTAACAAACAGCATGCCACTGAGAGCTGGGAAATGACAATGTTTAAAGTGCAGATTTTCCTTCTTGTGTTTATTTTCTCGATATATTCATTCTAGATTTGTCTTCTGTTTTAAGGTATCAGGTTTATCTCACTTGTTTTATTTACATTTTGATTTTGATTCACATTTCCGTGCTGTGAAATAATCTTGTTCTTGTCTGTCCCATAATGTGAACAGCACCTCAATCAGCTGTGGCCCTTTTAAAACATGCTCTATAAATATTGGACTTGAGTTTGTTTTAGATAGATCAATAAGTCAGTTTTATTACACTTTTAAATTTAAAATGAACACTTTAAACTTTAGTTACTTTTGCCACATTATTGATTTATTTCAGTTGTGATCATCACTTCAGCAGTCTTATCAACCAGCACTGATTGATTACATGCAGTGAGCACATGCTTTGAGAGCTTCACCCTAATGCAAACTGAAGCAACGCGAGGAGACTTTTGTCCAAATGATCAATCAACATGAAACGAAACAGGAGAAGCATTTCTTGAGTGAATCACGTTTATTTATACTAACCAAACAAGATGAACCTTGAACATGATTGTTGACTTGCCAGCCATGTGCATGCACAAACACTGCATGTACTGTTCTCAGAAGTACGTTTAGAGCTGATGACAACTTCTCCGTGTGCCCTACATACTTGAGCAAGCAGGTGCAGCACAAACAGCTTCGGTCTAAGGTCTAAGGCGGTTTGTGTTGCACAAACGTGTCCTATAAATATATCACCAATATCTTGTGAAACATGCTATTTTTTAAGTACTGTGTTAAAGTCTTGAGTTGCCCCTCTTTTAAAAATAAATAAATAAATATCTTGCTTCTCAAGATCCAGACTTTGTTTGTTTTTAATGGTCTTGATTAATAATTCTCCTGACTGTCTGAAGGTCTTTTAACGTTTTTGCGATTTTTACTACAGTACAGCACTTGCCCCTGATCATTTTTATAGAATTTTTTTTTGTTTATTTCTTATTGTTTGTTAAGCCAAAGTACTTAAAGAACCAACTTTAAGTGGTTTCCTTAAGCATTTGCACCATGAGGTTAAAACGTGTCATAGCTTAGCAAGGTCTGCAGTGTGTCCTTAAAAATATTTGCGGAAACTGGAAAAGCAGAGGACAAAAGAAGCAGCAGGCATGAGAAAAAACATACAAAAACAGCATCAACAGCAGCTGAACAGTATCTGAAAGTCATGTCCAAAGCCACATCAGAATAAAAGAGCAGCTGTCGAGAAGCCATTCTTAAGGAAGAGAACCTGGGAGATAAGGTCAAAGTATGCCATATTATACAAGAACTGGACTAAAAATCACTTCCAACAGTCCTGATGGTGTAATGAATTCAAATATGAAACGTTTGTTCAAATAGCCAACCAGTAATTGTCAGTGAGTGTCTACAACCATCTGTAAAACATGGAGGAACAGCTACTGGTTCAATTTTGAAAATTGAAATAACAAATTAGAAAGGAAAAAGAAAAACAGTCCGATTTCGATCCACCATTCAATACTATGTAGAAAGCATCTGAATTGACTATAATCCCAAACAAAATGGCAATGCAATGAAAGCATATACGGATTCAGTAAAAACACAAACACAAACACAGTGGAACATTATTAGTCATGGATTGGTCTCCCCAGAGTTCATACCTCAACATTATCGAAGCATTGTGGGATCATCTTGGCAGAGAACGGATCAAAAGGCAGCCAACATCCAAAGAAGAGCTTTGAATGTCCTTCAAGAATCCTGGAGAATTATTCCTGAAGACTACTTATAGAAATTACAAGAAGTTTGCCTCAGAGAGTTCAGGCTGTGTTGAAGAATAACAGTGCTCGTGCCAAATATTGACGTTCAAGCTCGTTAGAACTGTACAAGTGTATTACCATGTTTGTTTGCACAAGTTTAAATAAACCGTTGGTCCAATTGCCCATCTCTTGGCAAAACATAAAGAAATGCAGAGTAGCTCTTTTCACTTTTTGCACAGTGCTCTATCTGCGAGAAATTTTAAACTCATGGTCTTTGGCTCAATTAATGGCTTACCAGACCTTCAGTCCATTATATGACCCGAGATATTCCCCTGCGTTTGCATATACACATTCACACTAGAAAATCAACAAGCAGTAGTACACAGCAGTAGAGCACAAACTAACACTTGCACAGCAGCAAACATAAACACTCAAGAATAAACAGTGCAAGTACTTGGAATTCACAACTGCAGTAACATTCACAGACACGCAGCAGCAGCAGCAGCAGCGAACACTGATCTGTCTGACTGCTGGCTTATCAGGGAGTATACCACTGGGTTCAGATATT